CCATCTTATCTTTTCATCGTCACTATAATGGGTGTTCATCAATGGGATCAATCCAATCTGATCCAATCTGGAAATTTGAATATACAAAGATTTAGTGTGTTTCTTTTGTGTGGACTACATTTATCCTACCCTAACAACGGCGGTGATAAGATAAGATTGGCACGTGCATAATATATAGTACGTGTTATATGATCCAAGCAAACGCTTTGACTCATTTTATATCGTATTACATATTTACAAGTGTTTGACAAATTGTTAATTCTATATTAAGTACTCCCTCCGTCCCACAAAAAAGTTCCCATTTTGACCATAAATTGGTCAAACAGTTACACTCTTTGACCATAAATTAAATATAATCTAAATAAAGAAATGTTAAAAAAATTGAGATATCAAAACTAGATCCTAAGATGAATCCAATTATATTAAATTTATTTTATAATTTAATATACTTTTCTCACAATTTGTAGTCAAAGCGTGTAAATATTTGACCAAATACTATTCAAAATGGGAACTTTTTTGTGGGGCGGAGGGAGTAAAATTTTAATTGGGATGGGGAGTAAGAGACCCTAGATTTTGTTTTATCCAAGAAAAAATTCTCTATTTCAGAAAACAAATGATTTTTAATAAACATTTGGTTAATTTAGCATCTTTTTTTCTAAACTAAAAATATTTTTAAAATAAAACAATAAAATTCAGACAAAGAAAAAGTGCACTTACACATGTTTTTTTCAATTTATTCTTATTCCAATCATACTCGATCAGATCTGAAAAATTTAGATGATCAGAAAGATTTATCGGGTCAAAACACTCTAGACCAAATTTTAATAAACGCAAATCAAAACTAATCAGATAAGACGGATATAATAGACTCTTACTCCGAGAAAGGGGATAGCAGGTCTTATAGATGTTGCTCTTTTGGTAGTCCAAAATGAGGACCTCTCCGGCCGAGGAAACCTCCACAGAGAAAGGCTCAATTCCTACTTTGCTTCCATCAAATTCTGTCTCCACTGTGTATCCACTTTCAAATTTCATTGTTGAATGGCTCGGCACCGCTACAAAAAAAGGAACCAATTTGCCTAAAGTTAGACATCTGTTTCAAAACAAATGTTGCACGTACTTCAAAGAGTTGCGATGCGTATAAGTCAACCGGTTTGTCTCAAAATACACTATTTTGTACTTTATGTTTCAAAGTAAATGTTACTCATTTTTCAAAGAATTATGTTACAAATTACGACGGTTACATATATAGCATAATTACACTGCATTTATATTACGCTTTCAATTTTGAATTGCATAGATATAACGTGTATTACAAGAAAATATTTGTTCTGGAGACGCATCCGTTTCAAAATAAATCTTGCACGATTTTCGCACGTCACGTGTATGTCAATCGACTTGGCTGGAAAGAGATAATTTTGTACTTTCTGATAAATGTTACTCGTGTTTTGAAGAACCATGTTACAACAGTTACATGTATATCAATGGTTCAATATTTTATTCTATTAAAGTGAAATATGTTACTAATGTGAAGTTACAGTGGAGTTGAAAGGATAAAGAACTATCGTGAAGTTAACACGATGTTTAAGAGCTTTAACAATTATTTTCTGACATATGAAAAGAAATGCAATTAGTTTGGGAAGAATTAAATAGATTCAAACCTGGTTTGGAGTTGGTGTGGTTGATTTGAGTGACCACAACAATACAAATATCATATATTACAAAATACATACGATGTAAAAATTTAGTCAGGAACCAATTAATACAAAAACTCAAGATTAAAATGTATAGATACTTTCTCATATCTCAAAACACTTTACCAACTTTCTCTTTTTGGATATCCCTAAAAAAAACATCTCATTTATAAACACTATACCACCGTGCCACCACCGTGCCACTACCGTGCACCTTAGGTGCACAATAGATTTGCCTATTGAAGTTTGAGTAATTTGAGAGATACATCTTCACCGTGGCACTTTCGTGAACTAGAATTAGTAGTTTTTTATAACACTTGTAAATATGTAACTCGACATACGAATGAGTAAAAAGGTTCGATTGGACCATATAACATGTGTCTTATACTATACATGTGACGATCTTATCTTTTCATCGTCGCTATAATGGGTGTACATCAATTGGATTAATCCGATCTGATCCAATCCGGAATTTTGACTATACAAAGATTTAGTGTGTTCCTTTTGTGTGGACTTGTTTACTCTACCCTAACAATGGCGATGATAAGATAAGATTGGATCGTGCATAATGTAGTCCACGTGTTATATGATCCAACCAAATGATGTGACTCATTTATATGTCGAGTTACATATTTACAAGTGTTTGACAAACAGTTAATTCTATATCGAATAAATTTCAATCATGGTAATTTTATATTACTCTGTATATGTCAGTTTCTTATATTAGTCATAATTCACTTTATATATATTGAAGATGTTTCTCTCATATCACCCGAACTTTAATTGGCAAATCCTACCATGCACAAGAGGTACACGATAGTGGCACGGTGGTGCACCTACAAATGGTGAGAATAAACATTTGCTTACTATAATGATTAACATTTTAGGTAAAATTCGTTTATGACATGTTTGAAAATTGAAATTTGGATTTGACAAAAACTCCATGCCTGGAAATCTTAACACTACGTTTGGTTCGTGAAATTCAGAAGGAAAGAAAAAAAAGGCAGATTTCTTCCCTTTCCCTCACCAAAATGAGAGGGGAAGTTCTTCTATTTTCTTAGTTTATTTCCTCCCTTCATTTTATTTTTCTTCTACTCCGTACTTTTTTTCCTTTTCTTCTCTAACAAAATAAAACAAAAAATATTTTCCAAAGCATTTTTTCCTTTTCCACTTAAAATTTCTTGAACGAAACATAGTGTAAAATTTTGGATTCGGATTTGAGAGAAATTCTTAAAATGCATCACAAAGCTTAGTTGCAAATTCGTATGTGTCTCCTTGTCATTTGAAATTCAAGAATTCAAATTTTAAAATTAAAATGCTACCAAAAAAGCTACAATTTCCTTTCCAGTCTACCGTCGGTTGTCTACTATGGCCAAAAACAAGTGCTACCAATTAAGGTAACCCTTCTTCTCAAACGTTCATCTTTTTAAAAAGGATTAAAATTGTACACTGATCTTTATTTCAAATGAATTTCAAATACTCCCTCCGTCCTCTTGTATTTGTCCACTTTCATTTTTACACACCATCCAATACACTTCTTTAATCCATTTTATCTTGTAATTTGTATATTAAAAAATTATAAAAATTATATATTAATAATCTATATGTTAAGACAAATCAAACAAGATTACACATAACTATATTTAGACTTACACATTGAGAGAATTTGATGAGTCAAAGTGCTTAGATGAACTGTTCCAAAAGTCAAATGTGGACAAATACAGGGGGACAGAGGGAGTAGTAAACAACACAACCCGTTTGGAGGGGACAAAGAGGGGGGCTAGGGTGGAGGCGCATGGGTGGAGCCGTGGAGGTGTAGTGAGAGGTTTAGGGAGAGAGTTAGGAGATAAGAACCATTAATTTTACAAACGGGAGACTGGAGATGCTTCAAATGGGAGTGTCATCCGCTGACTCTGAATGTCAGTGTCAACGGCTTTGTTTGGGAACCGCATTTTTAATTAGCGTTAGCATTTTGATTAATTCTGAAAAGACTAACACTAAAGGCAACCGTCAAATAACATTTCCAAAATACTAATGCTAAAAGCATACGTGACCAACGGAACCTTGCCGCTAAAATACGGAGTATTCCAAGAAAAATACTCCGTAAACATCACGCTTCTGTTATCATGATGACATGTTTGGGAATGCCATTACAAGAATTGAGAGCTTTCACAGACAAGGTCAGAAACTCCTGCTCTTCCTATTGTTCACTTCTCCCTCCAATCACATTTTTGCACATTTATTTATGTAATTATATGCTCTCATTCTTTCCCCGTTTTTACTAGTCACTTAATAAAGTAATATAATCGCATCGCCTCTTATTTCATGAAAATTTTAATATATTTTTTTAATATGTAAGTTTAATTTTAAAATTCCACACCAATTCCTAAATAACTGTATTCATAATAACTCTATAACCCAAAACAGGTGATTTAAATTGAGACAAAGAGAGTGATATAAATGTAATATAATTAAATTAAATTTAAGAAAAAGAACGTATTTCACTAAAATTGATGCCCGCGTTCTTGCATCCAAACATGTCCTTTCTCTCGCACAAGGGAGAACGAGGAAAATCACATCACAAATTCACAAGTTTCTATTTGCAATTCACCAAAAAAAAAAAAAAAGTACACCCACGATAAATCTTTCTTTGCACCACACCATTATTTTAAATCTACAAAAACAAATTGTCCGGGTAATCACACAAACAACTAACTGTCTCGAAATAGTCATCTAGTATGTCTTTTCTGGGTCAAACTAGACAAATTTTAATCATCAATTAAATACCAATTGTATCAGATGTTAGTATGGAGTACAAAAATGATTGCATTGGATTTGTCTTGTGGATATAAAACTCGTCAAGTTTGACTAAAAAATGGTCAAACTAGATTAAATTGTGGAACAGAGAGAGGAGTTTCTATGAACTTAAAAAATGACTAATGTAAGAAATAGTGCAAGAGTAGTGTACATGTAGCATCACTCCACACAAATTCATTTCTCTTTAAAGATAATGAAATATCACCATCCATCTGAATCTCTTGAAAAAATGTCAATGGATCAACTCTCCTTTTTAGTGACAGATCCTCTACGTTAGATAAAATCCTTTTGATAATGTTTGTTTATGTTGTTAAGTATAGAGCCTCTGCAAGTACAATGTGCACAGACTCCACCCTTTGCCAGCTAGACTGTGATTATAGTTCAATTTACCTCCTCTTAGTTTGGCTGGTTCTGATGGGGTTCTCGGTAGGGCTCAACCTTTTTTTTTTTATTTTGATAATGTTTGACAGGGCTTTGGTATTTGAGAGACAACAACACAGAAGCATCTCTGAGGTGCTTTTGAATTCTGTATACAAAATAATCACTTTTCTACAAATGTAAACAAAGACAAACACTCTCTATTCCTTGAATCTCCTAAACTCAAACCAAACCTCATAATGGTTGAAAAGCAAACTATCATGAGTGTGCTTCCCTAGATACTCTAGGCCAAGACCACCTAACCTTTTTGTACATTCATCTCCTCCTAATCTTGAACAGAACTTTATATTGTGTGACACAAAAATACGGCCTACGAAAGGTTTCAACTTACCGACAAGCCTCTCTAACCCAACCCATACAAGCTTGTCGGGCATATGCAAGAAAACAGCACTTGCATATATCAAATCGTACATTGTTTCGGACCCAAACTTATTGAACTCCATGTCTTCGCCTCTTAGAATAAGAGGGCGTTTGGATAATAAACCTTGGGAGGGAAGCTCGTACCTCAAAGCAGCCATTAGGGACAGCTCGTCTCTTTCGAGACAGTGGAATTTCTCGGGATTCAAGTACCGGATAAAATGCAACCCAACGCGGAGGGTCCCACATCCGATCTCTAGGACTCTGGAATTCGGAGACAGATGAACAGAGTTCGCGAGGAATTCAAATACGTCTCGCCCTCCTGCCCATGGCTCCCCATAATTGCTGTGATGTTCTTCAACAAGGAGCTCACCCGGACAAGGGAGAGCTGTGTGATTATTTGCCTCCTCTCCTTCATAGTGTGATATGCCCTTGAACCTAAAAAGATGCAAGTCACCAAAGATTACTGAAAATGTGGTCAACTTCTCATGGAATAATAAAGCAGAAAGGCCTGGGTGCAGTTTTTGTACGTACAAGATTATTACCAGTCATCCTACTGAGATAGGAATTGGGAAATGAAGGGAATCTCATAATTGCAGAAATATTATTTACATATTTTTTAGAAGTTTAAGGGGTTTATTAGATTTTGGTGAAGGCAAATGGCCTAGTTGCATTTTTGTGAATAGTTTCCAATGGTTACTTGAGTCATTTCTCTCTAAAAGGCGCATGGGGCTCCTTGGTAACAAGGAGGCTAAAAACACCACCATCAAAGTGGACTTCCATTCATACTGTTCAACATGTGTGACCGCTAATCAGTCACCTAGCCCAAGGCTAACAATTGTCAAGGCATTAAAGGCATCACAATTTGCTAATGGGGCCATTAAAATAGAGTAGCACAAAATACTTCAATCCACATACTAAGTGGTAATTGAAGATATTGCACAATATTTTACTTATAAGTTATGACCTAATTAAAAACAAAAATGAGAAGTCTTACTTAAAAGAACACAAAAGGTCACAATGGCTTTGAAATCAGGAATTCGTTACGGGTACTCCAGGAATGCAAAATAAAAATCAATCACTTAACAACTTAGAGTCTTAGATTTTGGTTTCATATGTTCATTCTAGACCACCGATGTAAGTACTAGGCTTCAAAGTATAGAATATTCATGTAGTAGAATAAGTGGGTTATCACTCCCTCAATCTCAAAATGGTCTCATTCCCTTTGAGTTACACATAATTTCGGTACTGTTTTGCGCAGGACTCTCAGTTCAAAATTACATTGCAATCAACTCAAGTTCTGTACCATTCAATTTACCCAAGTAGTTAAGCTCAACTTCATTCAGCTCTATAAATTGACCCCTACATCCTAATCACAATAAGATTTGCCCAACTACAACCAGAGCAGCAATTAGCAACCAAATGCCTTGTATCATGTATTTATTTTACAATTATCAGAAGATTAATCTCCTTTCATTATCTTTTCCTAACAAGTCTTTTCACATGTTATCGGAGCCTCTTTGAGTTCTATTGTAACTTGGACGCCAACAACACAACCATCTAGGTCAATGTACTCACAATTCACCATGTATATAGCACGAGTGGCATTTAACTAGTATCCAAATTCTCCAATACCTGACTAAACTATAAAAGTATAAACATACACATTTTTTTAAAATAACTCCAGGATAAATGACTGTCAAAACCTTAAAGGCATCAGAATTCGCTAGAGAACTTCAAAATACCAAACAAAAAAATTCAGGTAAATAATAAATGGTCAATGATTATAATGCATAAAATGTTCCTAATATAACCTCCATCGAGAAGTTTATAATAAAAAAGACACCATCATTTACAAGTGCTAAAAAGTTTAACATTAAAGAACCCAACAACAACCCAGTAAAATTCAAACTCTGTTGGGGTATCGGGTGTCAAGATATACAGTCTTACCCCTGCAAAATCAGAGTCTATTCCTGTAAGACGATACATGCATTGCTGCATTGACTACATGAAAATTCACAGAATATAAGAAGCAGTGAAAGCTTTTCAGTCCATATTGAATCAGTTCACTATGTGCCCGAATCTAAATCATTGTAAAGAATAAAGATCCTCAATGTACACCCAGATAAAAAGAATGTCGGGAATGCAGAATGAGTATTTCAAAATTGTAAAGTCAACGATCAATAGCTTAACAAATTCTTAAGATTTGATTTTCACATTAACATGTTCATTATAGAACACTGATGTAGTAAATATTAAATAGCTATTAGAAGAAACAAATAGCCCCGTAGTATAACGCATAGGCTACAAACACAACCATCGAGGTGAACTTACTGTCCAGTCGCACCGTTCAGGCATTTAGCATTTGTGATTGGCTAACTTACAAACAAGCTCAAGCAACTTTGAAATAGCTCGAGGCTAACTCATAGGAAAAGCCATCACAAATTACTAAAGAGAAGTAGAGAACATTAAAAAATGGAAGAAAGCAGATTAAACTAACAATGATATATTGTTGTTGCACAAAAAATATTATAGACCAGCCTCCCAAAAGTTAACCAAACTGACTCTGTGATTCAGAAAAACAGAACACTTTTGCACAAAAAAGCCAACGGTTTTTAAATTAACAGCCCGAGAAAGTTTCACTAAAACAAAAAAGGTATTCCAGAATGACAATGAAAAAATCAATTGCTTAAGAACTTGTTAGGAAATTTTTCATAGTAACAAGTTCCTTATAGAACACAAATGTAGTTGATAGCCTTAAATAGAAACAGTGTTTGCTAGCATTTTGGAGGCTACCAACACAATTATCTAGGTGAACTTACTGACCACTCACATGGTTCAACATGTGTGACTGGCTAATTAGTCACCAAATCTTCAGCTAACTGCATAATTAATAATTAGACTAAAATGACTCTAAATTCTAAAATGGCTCAAAGCTAACGGATTGTTGAAGACGTCAAATTTGCTAAACAGAAGCATATAAAATTAATTAGAATACTAAAACAGAAAGACAATCAGACTAAGATTCAAAGCCCTCATAACTCATAGGCGACCAACACAATCATCCAGGTCTGGCCGATCGCATGGTTTAGGCATTTAGCATTTGTGATTGGCTAACTTATACACAAACTCAAGCAACTTTGAAATAGCTCGAGGCTAACTCAATAGAAAAGGTATCACAAATTACTAAAGAGAAGAAGAGAACATTAAAAATGGAAGAAAGCAGATTAAACTGACAATGATATACTGTTGTTGCATAAAAAATATTATAGACCAGCCTCCCAAAAGTTCGAAACCAAATTGACACTGTGATTTAGAAAAACAGAACACTTTGCACAAAAAAGCCAACGGTTTTTAAATAAACAGCCTGAAAAAATTTCATGAAAGCAAAAAAGGTATTCCAGAATGACAATATCAGAATCAATTGCTAAAAAACTTTTAGGAAAATTTTCACAGTACCAAGTTTCTTATAGAACACAAATGTAGTTGATAGCCTTAAATAGAAACAATGCTTCCTAGTATTTTGGAGGCCACCAACAGAATTATCTAGGTGAACTTACTGACCACTCACATGGTTCAACATGTGTGACTGGCTAATTAGTCACCAAATCTTCAGCTAACTGTATAGTTTATAAATAAACTAAAATCACTCAAAGCTAACGGATTGTTGAAGGTGTCAAATTTGCTAAACATAAGCATAGAGCATTAATTACAATACTAAAATAGAAATACAATTAGACCAAGATTCAAAGCCCTTATAACTCATAGGCTACCAACACAATCATCCAGGTCTGGCCAATCGCATGGTTTAGGCATTTAGCATTTGTGATTGGCTAACTTATGCACAAACTCAAGCAACTTTGAAATAGCTCGAGGCTAACTCAATACAAAAGGTATCACAAATTACCAAAGAGAAGTAGAGAACATTAAAAATGGAGGAAAGCAGATTAAACTGACAATGATATATTTTTGTTGCATAAAAAAAAATATAGACCAGCCTCCCAAAAGTTTGAAGCCAAATTGACTCTGTGATTTAGAAAAACAGAACACTTTTGCACAAAAAAGCTAACGATTTTTAAATAAACAGCCAGAGAAAATTTTACAAAAGCAAAAAGGTATTCCAGAATGAAAATGTCAAAATCAATTGCTTAAGAACTTGTTAGGAAATTTTTCACAGTAACAAGTTCCTTATAGAACACAAATGTAGACATGTAGTTGAAAGCCTTAAATAGGAACAGTGTTTCCTAGTATTTTGGAAGCCATCAACACAATTATCTAGGTGAACTTACTGACCACTCACATGGTTCAACATGTGTGACTGGCTAATTAGTCACCAAATCTTCAGATAACTGTATAATTTATAAATAAACTAAAATGACTTTAAAATGGCTTAAAGCTAACAGATTGTTGAAGACGTCAAATTTGCTAAACAGAAGCATAGAGCATAATTAGAATACTAAAATAGAAAGACAATTAGACCAAGATTCAAAAGCCCTTATAACTCATAGCCTACCAATACAATCATCCAGGTCTGGCCAGTCGCATGGTTTAGGTAATTAGCATATTTGATGGGCTAACTTATAAACAAACTCGAGATTCTTTGAAAAAGCTTGAGGCTAACTCTATAGAAAAGGTATCACAAATTGCTAAAGAGAAGAAGAGGACATTAAAAATGGAAGAAAACAGATTAAACTGACAATGATATATTGTTGTTGCATTTTGCATAAAAAATGTTATAGACCAGCCTCCCAAAAGTTTGAAACCAAATTGACTCAGTGATTTAGAAAAGCAGAGCACTTTTGCACAAAAAAACCAACAATTTTTAAATAAACAGCCGGAGAAAATTTCACGAAAGCAAAAAAGGTATTCCAAAATGACATCGTCAAAATCAATTGCTTAAGAACTTGTTAGGAAATTTTTCACAGTAACAAGTTCCTTATAGAACACAAATGTAGTTGATAGCCTTATATAGAAACAGTGTTTCCTAATATTTTGGAGGCCACCAACACAATCATCTAGGTGAACTTACTGACCACTCACATGGTTCAACATATGTGACTGGCTAATTAGTCACCAAATTTTCTGCTAACTGTATAATTTATAAATAAACTAAAATGACTTTAAAATGGCTCAAAGCTAACAGATTGTTGAAGACATCAAATTTTATAAACAAAAGAATAGAACATTAATTAGAATAATAAAACAGAAAGACAATTAGACCAAGATCGAAAGCCCATATAACTCATAGGCTTCCAACAAAAGCATCCAGGTCTTGCATCGCATGGTTTAGGCATTTAGCATTTGTGATTGGCTAACTTATAAACAAACTCAAGCAACTTCAAAATAGATCGAGGCTAACTCAATAGAAAAGGCATCACAAATTACTAAAGAGAAGTATAGAACATTAAAAATGGAAGAAAGCAGATTAAACAGACAATGATATATTGTTGTTGCATAAAAAATAGTATAGACCAGGATCCCAAGATTTGGAAACATAATTGACTCTGTAATTTAAAAAAAAAAAAACAGAACACGTTTGCACAAATAAGCCAACAGTTTTGAATAAAACAGCGTGAGAAATATTCACGAAAGCAAAAAGGTATTCCAGAATGACAGTGTCAAAATCAATTGCTTAAAAACTTGTTAGGAAATTTCTCACAGTAACAAGTTCCTAATAGAACAAAAATATAGTTGATAGCCTTAAATAGAAACAATGTTTCCTAGTATTTTTAAGGCCACCAACACAATCATCTAGGTGAACTTACTGACCACTCACATGGTTCAACATATGTGACTGGCTAATTAGTCACCAAATTCTCCGCTAACTGTACAATTTATAAATAAACTAAAATGACTTTAAAATGGCTCAAAGCTAACGGATTGTTGAAGATGTCAAATTTGCTAAACAGAAGCATAAAACATTAATTGGAATATTAAAATAGAAAGACAAATATTCAAGTCCCTTATTAACCAGCCAATGACATTCTGATATTGCATGAAAATCATATCATATCTTCTCCAAGCTCCATCCAAAAGTTTGCTACATAAATCAAGCCAATTCCTAAAACTGATAACTTCATGTTGGATACAAAAGCTCCATCACCAACTGTTGTTAAAAATAACACAAACACCAAGGTTTTAAAAGGCAACTCAAGGGATCGACACACTTTGACAATGCATATCCCAAACATGCACTTAAACCATTTCCAAAAAGTCTTTGTCACTTGATCAATTTCCAAAAAAAAGGTGGCAAATAAGCCCTCCAACTCTATATATTCATTGATCATAGTGATGCAGCTAATAAGCCCTTTAAAATCTTTTAAGTATATCTTCTTCTTAACCTAACCTTCATCATCGACAACAAAACACCAATCCAGAAAATTAAGGTCCATCTGTGTCTGTTGAACTGTTGGTTGATTGCGGGTAATAGTTTTATGGTATAGATCTGAGATTCTGAACAGTGGACAGTTGTACACGAGAATAATGTTTTAGCCAAGATGGCATTGAGCTTGCATGCTATAAGCTTTCTCATGGATTCTAGGTACATTACACTTTGTTCAGTTTTATTTTATTTGATCTTTTGATTGATCTTCTATTGTTGGATAATCATTACCCAAAATTGAATATTTTACCCAAATTTTAATATTATGGTGCTCTCCTCATTCTAAAAAGATTGAGAATCACTCCATTTTTCGAAGCTATTATACGTTTGTGTCTAAACTCCAGAGTATAAATTCAATAATCAGAGCAATAGCAAGCTATTCAGTGAACCAATAAAATTTAGTGCTCAAGAAGAAATCAAATCATATATGCATTCTCTCTACGCATAAGAAGTTAATCCTAACCAGATTATAACCACACTGGTCTACTCAAGTAAGCATATTATAAACACAGACAATTAATGAAATAAGATTAAGAGAGGTGCGTACTGAAGAAGATCCTGGAGCTGTTGTTGGCGAGTGCGAGGGTTAATCCCTTTGCGGAGCACATTTTGCCTCATATGGAGTCCGTTTTCCTGGATCTGCCTCTTCAGCCACTCAATATCCTCTGCCGACGCCGAGATCCGCCCCTCAGGCCTAGCAATGTCGGAGGCAGAGCGGTCCGCGGATGTAGGGCAAGAGCAGGGAGCGGTAGATGAGGGTGAAGAGACAGAGGTAAACAAAAAGAAGATGAAGAAGGCTGCCGCCGCCGCGAAGAGAGCAAGCACCGGCACCGATATTGTCACCCCCTTGGACGATGCCGGCAGCGCCATTGTAGGGGAGAAGATCGATCCAGATGTTCTATTTATGAATGCAAATGTGTACGGAGTTTTAAAATGTGAGAAGAAATTTTTGCATTTTTCAATAATTATTAATCAATTACTCCCTCCGTCCCACTCTTTTTGTCCACTTTCATTTTTGCATACCATCCAATGCATTTCTTTAATCCATTTTATCTTGTAATTTTTATATTAAAAAATTATAAAAATTATATATTAATAATCTATATGTTAAGACAAATCAAACAAGATCATACATGACTATTTTTAGACTTACACATTGAGAGAATTTTATGAGTCAAAGTACTTAGATGAACAGTTCCAAAAGTCAAAACTGGACAAAAAGAGTGGGACGGAGGTAGTATTCAATTCATAAAATAAAATATTCATCTTACTCCTTGCTTTGTGAAAATATTGATATTTTTTTAAATATATAATTTTTTTATTATTATACCTATTTATTAAAAAATTATTTTGAAATTTATGAAATTTTTTACTCCGTATGTTATTCAAATATCATTTTGAATCAGAAAGAATATTTCTTTTGTTCATCAAACACACCTTTATATACTTTGTAAATGAAATCCTTTTCTTTTTGTGTGTGAAAATGAAACTCGATTTCGAGTCTAGTTCAATTAAAAAAAGAGAATTTGGTTTAGAAAAATAAAGAGAATTTAAAACTTTAAATTTAAATCTCTCTCCATCCCCTAGAAATTGAGGACTTTTCATTCTCCACTGCAAGCTCTTCTTCTTGTTGTATATTTTAGTGAAATTTACATAAACAACAGTAAAACACAATGAATTTTTCTATATAGCACTATAAATTTTAATTTCCATGACTAGTGTCTAATTAATTAATTATTAATTCTAGACTACTAAAATGCCCTTTATATAATTTTGTATTTACTGTCTCATCATGTTGTATCGTCATTCGCCGATCGTCGATCACAAAATACTGACGTCAGTGTCCGCCGTCACTAATGTTTATTGCCCATGATTTAATGACTTTCTTTGTTTCACTATAATAATGTCCAATATCGTTGTTAATATCTATGTGTCCATTATCAAGACATTGTCGGTAAAAAAAACATTATCGCAATTATAAATGTCCACAGCATTAGTCATCAATGTTTCGATCAGTAAATAGTTTCCATAATTTTTACAATGTTCCATATCTATTATTTTTACAATGTCAAGCAATTACGTACCATCAAAAGGAAAATATAAGCTGACGAATCAAGGAGAGAGAATCGATGATAATTTCACTATACTTTAGTGTAATTTCACTATACTTTAGTGTAATTAGAATAACTATTTGATCAATAATATCATATAAATCATCAAAAAAGTTGGTGGTGTGAAGTGCACGCTTCATTCAATTTGTTATGATAAAAGTCCCGTTTTAACGGGGGTTTCAAGGGATAGCGCCTCTGAGGGGCAAAGCCCCTGGTTGGGGGTCGAGATGTTGTGTTAAAAGTTTACTTGAATACTTATTTTTTGGAATTGCGTATAAAGAAATTCCAAAAGAACGCTTCTTCCAATTTTCACGCGATTAGATGCGAATTTTAGAAGAGAGACGCAGTCACATCTCTTCTCCCTCTCCACCTCTATGGGTATCCGGCAAGTCTTGGTCAAAAACCAATAGTTTTGAAAATCATTACATCTTCTCCATACTTCGTTCTAAAATTCTCTGAATTGTATTTGATCGAAAGAATGGTGTGAATCGACGAATTGTTTCAATCTGAAAGTGACTACACGTTTTTCAGAGATTCTAAGTACTGATTCATACGAAGTATTTTCTAATATGTTTTAGTACTATATATGTAATTTCCCCCACATATATTATTTGTTTCTTCTCCACCAATTACACTTTTAGTACTCCCATCTCTTCCATAAACCATTTCAACTTTCTCATCTTACTCGTCTCATAAAATATTTCATTTTTTTCAAAAAAGGACTAAAGTACTCTCTTTAACTCCACTTGCTCACATTTCACCCGTCGCATCTCATGTTACTTTTTGTTTTTTTAATTACTCCGATCTTTCTCATTATTATTACTTTTAAAAAGAAACCTCGACACATTCGTAAAAGGTCAAACACCAAAAATATGATTCCCTTGAATCATCCAAAAGTCAGAAAATAGAAAAGTATTAATTACTCTTTAATTTGAAATTTATCAAATGAAATTCATAGACAATAAATCCACCAAACAATCCGACTTGAACGGCAAAACAAAAGAATAATCAAGAAAATAAGAACTCGAGAATTATGGAATTATGCGTTAGGTTTAGCTTGAGGTTTCCCGTTCGGGTCCTCCTTATTTATACATGCTCTTCTACGCAATTATGGTAGTTTACAATTTATGGAAACTAATCCGAGATTCGCGTGATCCCCTTCATTCGGTTACTTTTCCGCAACCTAGTTGCGTCTCCTTCTCCATTTCGGATTTCCCAAATTGCTCCAGCTCGGGTTGGTCCAAGACAAACACACACATGTGGATTCCCAAACGGCTCTCGGGCACGAGATTGGGCCATCCGTCGAGTATCGGCCCATCAGAAATACTCCGTAACAAAAAATTTTAGATTTGACTCAACTTCATTTTTTTTTGTCACAAATGAAATGAGACTTTATGTGGAAAGAGAGACATGTTTGAAAATGAGACAATAGGATTAGTTTTCTTCTTCACCAAATATCCAGAAGCTGTAGTCCGCACTCCAAAATGCAAATGGAGGAATTAGGAGGGGCAGTCGCACGTAAATATGCTCATAACGGTGTGCCAATTCCTAAACCCCAAACCCCTCATAACAAACTAACTGGCGCGCCGGACGATGGATTGCAACGGAAGAAACTCTCTCTCTCTCTCTCCCTCTCTCTCTCCGTATATCGTATATTCTGTATATATTAATGAGCATTGTACGCCGGCCCGAATAACTGAGACACAGATTCGCGGCATTTTCTTCAACCGGATTCGCAGCACACTTTCCGATCATATATCGACGTTAGTTTCCGGCATTGTTGCAGAGCATTCTCATCTGCTCCGGTCAGCTGCAATGAATCACCGTCTCTTTCTCCTCCGCACAGTCATCGGCATTATCGGTCTTTCTCCTCAAACCTGTTTCTCTATTCTTCTCTGTTCTGATTCTATTCCGTATAGCTAGCCTGTGTTTTTAACTCATCCGATTATGATCGTATCTGTACGTGTATGTGATGATCGAAACTGAGATTTCGTGTTAGATTTTGATTCTGAGATTGAGGTGTTTTTTTACTGGAATTCGACCGTGAGTTTGATAGGCTATGTGTATAGATATCATTTTCCGATTGTTGATGTGTAGAGTTCTCTCGCAATGCGAATTTGAAGCATCTCGTTTTTTTCGGGAGGAAATATCTCCGAATTTCTTCTCGTCTTGACGGAAAACTATTGACGGCGAGTTGAATTTGGACTCGTGATTTGATTGTTAGACTTCGACTCGTAATTTAGTTATTAGATTGAAAGTTTAATGTATTTATTTTATTTTAATCGGATCGTCTGCATTTATCTATGAGCATATTATACGGCGCCAATTTGAGCTTTAAGAGTTTCTTTGTCAAGTATTGATTTGATCGGATTGTCTGCAACTATCTATGATTTTCGAGCTCCTCTGTATTTCTTCTGGTTTTTCCTGTGAAGTTTACACGCTCTGCTGCTTCTTCTTGCACAGGGAATGTCGTTTCCGGCGCTCTGTTCATTTCGCCAATGTAATCTCTCTATCTCTCTGATAAACACTAATTCTGGTCGTAAATGATGAGCCGATGATGAGATCTTGAATAGCTGGAATGAAAGCCTAATTAATTCCTAATTCAAATTATATTCTGCCTTGTTGTAGGCCAACTGTTTACAGGATCGTGAAAAACAGATCAGTGGAGGGCTTCCATCCATGGCCGTACCATGCGGCGCTGATGAATTGCTTGATGTGGGTGTTCTACGCCATGCCCTCCGTCCATCCCCACAGCGTTCTCGTCATGACCATAAACTCCATCGGCATCGTCTTGGAGTTCTGCTATCTCTCCGTCTTTTTCGTCTTCACCAGTCCCAGAAATCGGGTAACACGCGTGATATGCATTTTTTTCACCCCACTCTCTCCCGCACGCTTGTACAGCTGAACTGAACATGCAATTTGAATGATGGAATTTGCAGGGGAGAATGGTGGGCTTGTTCGGCCTTCAAATGCTTGTTCTAACTGTGATAGTCCTTGGCACTCTCCTGGGCGCGGATACAATTGAGAAGAGAACCAAAATCGTGGGGTCGCTCTGCGTGGTTTTCGGGATCATTCTCTACGCGTCGCCTCTATCTGTGATGGTATGTCTGAAACTCTTCATTTTGTTCAAGCAAAGCATTAATTAGTACGAGTAATTGGTGATGATTATTGGTGTTAAACTGGTAATTAATGATTATTAGTGTTCAATTTGATGGAACCAAATTTTATATGTTTCCTCTATCCGGTAATAATTTGAAATTTTTAACTTCATTTATTAAAGGAACAACGTCTTAAAAAGGTTACTCGTAGTGATTATTAAAGTTTGATTGGATATTACAAAAACTACTTCATCAGCCACAAATTTGAGTAATGGATTTAATTAAATAACAAAACGCAACATCATAAAATTAAAACAAAAAGCTAATATTATCTTTAAATTAGAATATTTATGCTAAATGGACAGTTGATTTTGGACGAACATCTCAAAAATAAAAAACGGAGCATATTGTTTTGTTGGTTGGTTTATACACTAAGAAACAATGTACTTGTAACATACATACCATATTGAGGAATTTACTTAAGAAATATTTGCACTAAATAGCACTAAAACTAAAGTCATTTCTCTAAATAGCATTTAAAATGTTTTATTCTCTAAATAGCATTTAATAATATCCATAATGTCCGGTGATGACAAATATTTACTTGAATAATGACTAATGCATAATGATTGAAAATGCTACATTGGGAAGAAAAACATATGTGGTGTTATTTAGGGGAAAATCATTATATTTTGGTGCTATTTAAGTGAATTCCTCATTTACTTAAATATGACTACATAATATAATGATGTTTTCTAAATATCATCATGTGTTTTAATTTTCCAAGTGTAACACTTTTAGTCATTATCCTTAGTCATTATTCAAGTAAATGTTCACCATTATTGGACATTATTCTTCTTTCTAGACATTATAAAGTGTCATTTATGAAATAAAAAAGTTTAAGTACTATATTAGAAAATGACTTGTGTTTAAGTATTATTTAGTGCAAATATTTCTAGCATATTTTCTCAAGTTCAACTTATCTTCGTGACAAAAAAATTATTGAAGCATCACTCTTTTGACTTTTGAGGAAATTAAAGTGGCGTGATGGAGTACTATTAGAGCTACTTAAAATTTAAGGTGATAATTAGAGGGACCTAAAAATCCTTCTAAATTGGAATGGATCTTTTTAATAGTTACATAAGTACCCCGTATTATTAATTCATGAATTTTTTTGAAACATTTATTAATGAATTTTAGTTATATGAGAATGTGCAAGTTTTTTTTAAATGTATGGATTTAAAAGTCAATATGATACTCCCTCTCTCACATTTCTGATTTTGATTTTTAAAAGATTTATTTTTAAAAATACCTTCAGATGTAATGTGTAAAAATAGGATACGATGGATAAATTAATAATGAAAAAATATGATGCGATGAGGATGTTAAGAATTACTAATGATAAAAATGATTTTTTAATATAAATGAGAAATGTTTTTTGAAACGAGTGAAAAAAGAAAGAAGAAAAATTTTGTAGGAAAGAGGGAGCACAACATTCAAAAATTGATTAGTATGATTAAATAAATTGAATGAAGTAATAAGGCCGGGAAGGTGTGGCTAGCTTGGCTAATATATTGGAATGAATGAAACGCAGATGACAGTGATCAGGAGCGGGAGCGCGGAGTACTTGCCGGGCTGGCTCATCGCTTCCGGCTTCGCTAATGGAGTCCTCTGGGCTGCATATGCTTGCATTAGATTTGACATCTTTATCTTAGTAAGTGTTAATTCTACATTTAATAATTTCATTCTTCAAATTGTTCTGCTATATATATATATAGCTCATCATGATGCTTATTTTCACTCTTGGTGCGGTCCTCTTGGATATATAATTTGTTAATTTGAGAATAATAACAGTATAATTGCAGGTGAGCAATGGTGTGGGGGCCATCTTAGCTCTGTCCCAGATAATCCTCAAGTGCATTTGCCATAACCTCCCAAGGCCAGCAGAAGTCCATCATGTGGATGATGACCCCAATAATAATGTGGCTGATGACCCCAATGTGGTTTAATCAGCTAATCGTACATTGTTTACTTCCCCGCCGGCCGCCGTTTCTTCGTTGCGGTTTATTAACATCTCCATCTGGGTTGAATTCAATTGGACGGTTCTGAGTTTTTTTCTTTCTTGTTTTTTTTTATGGGTATCCGGCAACCAGCTGCATATACTCTCGATCGCCAATGTAGCTAGCTTCTTTAATTTCTGAGTAGCATGCAGCTATATACACTACTAGCTACTATCTGTTCTTCTTTTGCATGTGCTCTACTTCGGTTTGCTCAACTTTGGAACGGCTCGTTGATTTGAAGTACATACATACAATTGCTCATTCGTAAGACAAATCTATACATTTTTCTTCCCCCCCCTACTCGACTAGATAGATCAAGATTCATACATTTGTGTCGTACATGGTATAGTAAATAGTCCGGGACCCCTTCTACTTCTCCTATTAAAAGTTTTGAAAAATAAAAACAAATATGAATGGTTAAAATTTGATTACCATAGAAAAAAAATTATGAACCTTGAACATATTATTTCTGTCATTACAAAAATACGGAGTAATAAATACTTCCTTCGTCCAACAATAGACTTTCCAACGTGTAAAATCTCATCTTTTTTAAAATTCTTTTATTTATAAATTCGTATTTCATGATAAAGTACATATTAATTACATTGTTGAAAACTACATTGAAAGTTTTACAATACAAGGTGTGATATTAATTTTTTAATTTTATCAAATTATAGGTGAAAATATATAAACAAACATAAGTTATGGAGAGACGGTAAAAGTAACTCGAAATTTTATTGGTGAACGGAGGAATATAATCTTTTTAAAGAGACCAAAAAAATGAGACAACTTAATTTAAGACGAAATGAGTACATCACGATGTTGTATCAAACAAAAACAAAAAAATTACCTATTCTTCAATATTTACATTATTTTTTTCATTTTTGTCTTCAAAATTACTACTTCTCTCTTAAATAAAAAGTTCTAGTATATGCATAAAATAACTAAAAGTACTCCCTCCGTCCCAGAAAGAATGCCACATTTACTATTCTGGCCTCTCGATAACTTTTGTTTGTTTACTCGTTTTGGTTAACCATTTGATATAATAAAATATTCTTGTCGCATCTTATTTTGTAGAACTTTTCATTTACTTTTAAATGGTGTAATTTTTACTTTTTATTATTCTACTAATTTGAAATTAAAGTGATTTTAAAAGAGATGATATTTTGCACTTCGTTCGAAGTGTTGCAAATAAATTGGGACGGAGGGAGTAATATACTACTTCTCTTTTAAATTACTACTTCTCTCTTAAATAAAAATTCTAGTAATTACTACTTCTCTCTTAAATAAAATTAAAGTTCTAATAAAAGTTATATAACTAATTAAAAGTAAAAATTGTATATGCATAAAATTTGTTTAGAGAAGGTATGTTATTGGCCACATACGCATTTCTTTTTATAGAAAGAAAGACACGGAAATTTTGTTTTGGGATAAATAAAAAATTAAAATGTAAATTTTATTTGGGAAAAGAATTTCTACAAATATTTCAGAGCACATAGCCCGAGGGCCTTTTTTATTACATACATTGTACTCCTTCGTCTCAATTTAAATTGCTTGTTTCGATTTACGATGTTTTACTGAAGTTATTTTCAAATTATTTATGAAAAAGCATTGTAGAACTAAAAATAAAAATCTAACTAAAACATAAAAAAATACCAAAATAAGAGTTTCATGTTTTTATTCTCGAAATAGGATTTCACATTGTGAAAATATGGTTGTAATGTGACATTGTACATGTGCACATTATTATGCTTTTTGGTAGTGTACATGACCATGTTTGGTGATTTAAATGCATTTTAACTCTTATTCTGGGAATAAAAGCTTGTAAATCCTATATTTTCAATTTTTTACTCCTACTTTAATTTAGTCTTTTTCCCAATTAAAAAATAAAAAATATATATTTAAAAACTACATTAAAATATTTACAAAACTAGTAGTGACATGATTATATTATTTTATCAAATAACTAATAAAAATATGTTAAAAAAATGAATAAAGTTTGATCATATGAATAGTAAACATTTAATTTAATTTGGAACAGAGAGAGTAGTAATTACCATTGTAACCTACAAATCGATTACTATGCTCATCGAGGCTTAGAAAGGTGTTTGTAAGTGCGGTTAGTCTTGAAAAAGCTGATGTGCTAAATCAAAAGTAGAAAACTGTTATTCTGAGCTTTGTGAAAATCACTTCTAGAGCATAATCTACACTACTACTACCAATAAGATGCATCTTCTTTTAAAGAATTTATGAGAAGTTCTTAATGCGCCCACGAGTGAAGTCAAAGTGTGTGAGATCGAAAAACTTGTTTTGATTAGTGAGGCTAATATACAATCTCCAAAGTAGTGACTTCATGCTCGCTTACAATGAATGGTTGCAATGTGATAATAATATGGCAATGTAAATGATGACCTTGCGATGGTGGTAGTGTAGGAATGAACCATAGTAAAGATGACGATTTATTGGGATGAATATAGTACTCCCTCCGCCCCCATAGATCTTCCCAATAGCCTTTTTTCTATGTCCACAATAGATCTTCTCATTTCATTTTTTAACAATTAAAATACCACAACTACCCTCACTTACTTTATTTATTATACCTCACCCACCTCATTTAATACACTCCACTCATTTTTCATTAAGGGTATTATGGTAAACTTTCACCCTTTTTCAACTCTCCTTAAAACCCACCAAAAGTCAAAATGAGAACATCTTAGGGGACGGAAGGAGTATTTAAAAACACTACCTACAAATTACAATACAAAAGGCCAAATCAAATGATTATGTGCTATACATTCAAATGTACAATATTTCTCGTTCATCTGCATTAATATTTATTTTTGAATAAGCGAATACTTCCTACTCCCTCCGTCCCACTATATTTGTCCACTTTCATTTTTACACACCATCTAATGCACTTCTTTAAGCCATTTTATCTTGTAATTTGTATATTAAAAAGTTATAGAAATTATATATTAATAATCTATATGTTAAGACAAATCAAACAAGATCACACATAACTATATTTAGGCTTACACATTGAGAGAATTTGATGAGTCAAAGTGCTTAGATGAACAGTTCCAAAAGTCAAAAGTGGACGAATATAGCGGGACGGAGGTAGTATTTTTTTTTGTTTCACAATTAACTGAATACTACCCCTCTTGGAATATTTGTCAGTGAAAAGTGGACAAAATTGTCCCCACTTAATTTTCTATTCTTCTTCCGCAGAAACCGTTCAATAAGCCTCCACCCAGCTTTCTCCATCAGATTTCCCTTCCAGCTCCAGCTAGTCGCCGTCCGCCGCCGTCTTGCTCCTCCTACTGTGAGTCTTCTTCCCTCTCCATTCGCCATCGCGAAAATTTGCAGTGATTTCTATCGTTTTTTTTTGTATGTCTCTTTCAAACGAAAGTTAATTTGTGGAGGTCAGTTTTTGTCCTCCATTGTAGAATAGCTAATAGGAGAGGCATGGACTTCCTAATGTCTCCTTTTTTAGTCTGTGTCCTATGAAATCAATGAGTTCCCCCTTTTTGTCTGTGTCAGATTGTCAAATTGTTTTAGGGTTTTTTTTTCATTTAGGGATTCTGTGATTAGGAATTATTCGAAATGGAAGACATCACAATGTCAATCGGCAAGACGACCCAAGATCTAGCAATGGAGGGACAGAAACATCTGGAGGAAACAATTGAAGCAGCATATCGAATCCTCGCTTCAATGAACGATGAGCTCTGCAACCCTGCATTATGGTGTATCACCACTTCTTCTTCTCAAGTTCCTGCTGCTAATAATAATAACAATTCGATTTCCCAAAACCGAACGGGGAATGGAGATTCTGCCTCTGATGGAACCGGTCGTGGCAGTGTTAGTTCCGGTAGAGGAAATGGAGCACTTGATGAAGCTCGATTTCGGTATAAGAACTCCATTGCTGCTCTTCGTGAGGTTTTGGCTGCCATTCCGATTTCTCGCGAGGTAAAAACCTCCAATTCTCTGCTCTTGAATATGAAGTGAAACAAACACATTTCTCTCTCTCTCTCTCTCCATGATATAAACTTTTATTATTACTCTCTGCAAAACAGGAAAAAGCATTTGAAACCAGTTCAGCATCTCCAGAAGAAGATGAAGCTGATGTTGAGAAATTGGAAGTGAAAGCCTCCAATCTTAAAAAGGTGCTAACTAGTTCTCGTCCCGAGCAGAAATTATAGGTCAAAGAGCCTGAAGTGGCTGTTTTGGTTAGGCCTAACATGACTCAAGTGAAATAAGTTGGTTTTTTGCCGAATAATCAGGTTGATGAAGCTATATATAACCCGATGAAAGCTTACTGAACCCGTGTTCTTTTTAAGCAAAAGAAAAAAAATGATTAGCTCATATGTGATCTTGAGAAGTCTTTTTTTAAAGCTTTTACACATAGTGTTTTCCATTGGTGTTAGCTTTCTTTGAAGCATTGTTTTTTCCCCCTTTTCCTCCAATGCAGGAACTTGTCAATAAGAATGGATATATTAAGCTTCTCATTGATCAGTTACGGGATCTTATCTCCGATTTATCTACCTGGCAAAGTCCCTGCTCGCTATGAAGTCCGTGTTGATATCATGACATGAAAATGGAGATTAGATCTCATAATTCATTCTCCAAAGGCAAGTCCCAAACGGTAATCTTATAATGATTTTTCTTAGAAGTGAATCTCCAATTTGTAGCTTATTCAATACTGTAGAAAGGCGGTTGTCGAAAAGTTTCAATTTTTTTAAAAGAGAATTTGGGCAGGATGTCGTACTCTACGATGTGTTGAGTTATATGGATGAAGCCTTTGTTGAGATGAATCCTCTTTGTCTGGGAATTTGAATGGTAATTCTGCTTCTTGAGACAAGTGATATGAGTGTTAAGTAGCTTTATAAGGTTGTCAACATGAACCTTGATGTGTTATGACTTTTGAACTATCAAAGAGGTCACTTATTGGTTCTTGAGTAACAAACTTTGGACCTCAACACTCGCCATGAAAAATTATACCATACATCTGAATATACCTACTTTCGTGCAAGTCCAATGACAGTACGCTCCGAGTACATACCAAAAATGAGCATTTTCCTTTTTTAAAAAATCCGTGAAAGTCAAAGTAAACATTAAAAAATTGGGATTGAGGAGGAATTAAGTATGGGTTGGTGAAATGAAACCACACTAGTTTGATTGGTGTTTCCAAACCCATACCGAAGATTGAACCAAACCCCCTAGTTAAATATCAAGGGGAAGAAAATACGTACCCACACGGCACACCATCCCCACAAGGTATTAGGATAGTATAAATAAAAACATATAGAGTACAAGGAGATCGAAGCATGAAATGTGGGGATTCAACATTCTTCCTCCGTCCCAAAATAGGATTCTTTATTTGGTTTGACAAAAAGTTTAATGAAAGTAAAATTGCATAATTGAAAGTAATACAAAGAAGAGAGAAAAATATTGAGCCACAAGAAGTTTTCTAAAACTAGAAAGAAGAGTCTTTTCTAAGACAAAAGAACACAACAACAACAACAACAACCCAGTTGAATCCCACATCAGTAGGGTCTGGGGAGGGTGTGTGTACGCAGACCTTGCCCCTACTCGGAAGTAGGGAGGCTGTTTCCAAGAGACCCCCGGCTCCACCTGCACAAAAATATGGAAGAGAACACAGTATAGCACAGATAAGACACCAAGTAAAAGCAACAAGTACAAACAATAGCCAAAGATTCCCAATAAATACAACACACTACAAAACAACCTCTACAACACCGAGCTCCTATCCAGCTACTCTAATCCTAGTTCTCCAAAGGTTCCTATCTAGGGCCATATCCTCAGTCAGGTCGAGAAGTCCTAAATCATGTCTTATCACCTCCTCCTAATTCTTCTTAGGTCTACCCCTTCCCCTACTTCCCCCGATAACAGTAATCCTCTCGCATCTCCGTACAGGGGCGTCAGCATCCCGCCGTCTCACATGGCCAAGCCACCTCAACCTCGCTTCCCGCAACTTGTCTTCCACCGGTTCCATACCTACTTGACGTCGGATAACCTCATTCGAAATCCTATCCAACCTTGTCTTCCCGCACATCCATCGTAACATTCGCATCTCCGCCGCATGCAGACGACGCACATGAATCTTCTTAACTGCCCAACACTCTGCCCATATAACATAGCAGGTCTGACTACGGATCGATAGAACTTACCTTTCATTCTAGGCGAAATCTTCGGATCACACAACACCCCTGAGGCTAACCGCCATTTGGCCCAAGCCACTCCAACCCGATGTCCAACATCTGCATCTAACTCCCCATCCGCCTGAATTACCGAGCCAAGATAACGAAACCTGTCTACCTTAGGTACTAGGTGAGAGTCAATCTTGACTTCCACCTCTGATTCTGTATTTATCAATTTTCTTCAATCGTTTGTCGCTTTCAATCGCTCGACACCTGCTTCCCACCATCACCGACCACCGGGAGTCATTAATATTTATATGAGATTCAAGATATCTTTTCAAATTTCATTACATATTTTTTAATGACTTTAAAACATATCCTCCGTCTCAAATTAAATTTTTTATTTACTATTCACATGATTAAACTTTATTCACTTATCTTTTCTATTTTTTTAGTCATTTGATAAAGTAATATAGTGATATCTTCACTAGTTTTGTTGATATTTTGATAGACTAGTTTTTAAATAAAGGAAAAATTATCCAGAATTTCCCAACTTTATCCGGTCTTTCAAAAATAATCTTATCTTTCACTGTGATGCATAATTATCCCAACTATACTGAAACTTGCGAGTTTTAGGTCGCTGTTAAGTTACTAACGAGAAGTTAACAAAACAGCTTGTTTTGCTCTACAAAATGAAAGTTGAGATTATTTTCGATGAATTTTCATATTTACATAAATTTTAAATTTAGTTCTTAAAATTAATTTCAACCTCCATCATTTCTGTTTTTTAAAGATTAGTCTAACTTTGGATAAAATAATAAAACGATATATAAAATAACAAAAATAAGAAAAACAACTAAAATCATATCATACAAAAATAATAAAAAAGTAATATATATAAATTAACATGAAACTGGCAAGAAATAATAAAAAAAATATATGGAGTGGTGAGTTTTAACATTTTGTACACTATACAGAGCATCAATGTACCACTTCTTCTTATTTTTAGGTAAAATTATCTAAAATACTTCTAGTTTTACTTATTCTTTCAAAAAATAAGTAGTCTATTAATATTCTGTATAGTGCGTAAAATGTTAGAGCACTCCACTCCTTATATTTTTATTTTGTTTCTTTTCAATTTCAATTTAATTTTTATGGATTGCCTTATTTATTTCATTAACTTTGTAGGATTTAAGTTATTTTTCTCATTTTTGATATTTTTATAATTATTTTTTATTTTTATAAGATAAGACTAATATTTAAAAAAGGAAAAAGAAATTGAAGTAGAAAGTCATTTAAAAATTCAAATAAAAATTTCAAAAATAAAAAAAATAAACAGGCCTTTCCGTTAACCTAGTGTTAACAACTTAACAGCGACCAAAACTTGCAAATTCCAGTAAAGTAAATTATTATGCATCATAGTGAAATGTGAGATTATTTTTGAAAGATAAGATAAAATTGAGATTATTTTGGATGATTTTTTTTAAATAAATAATTTTTATTTTTTAGTTTTAGACTATTTTTTATTGAAAATAATTTGGAAATCAATTCAGTAAAACATTGTAAGCTAAAATAGATATTTAAATTAAGACTACTATTTCCTTCTCATCATAAAATTTCTTATAATTTCTTACAATCACTTTATTGGTATAGAGCTTGTTGGAAATAGCGTATAGCGTCAGAGATTAGTGTTAGTGTTTTAAATAAAATTTTAACAGTGCAGGTTAATTTTTAAAACGCTAAATGGCCATACTCGTAAGATTTTAAATAACCTTTTTTAAAACGCTAACGCTTTCTTAATGCTATTTTTAAAAATGCCCATAAAAAATTATAAATCTCTTTTGAAAAATTTCTTTTAGCCATCGCCGCCGGCAACCCAATATAACGAGTCACTCCCGCCGCCCGCCTCCGCCCGGCCCCGCCATTGTGAGCCACCCAGCCGCAGCCGTTAAAACAATCATATCCTACATCTCTTCAAAGATCTTTCACTTTCCAAATTTCACAAGCATACAGGCTCAGCCTAACCGCCATCGCCCTCACTCAGCTAACCAGGTTCAGGCTAGTTCCATTTTTTCCGGCGGCCGGAACATCTACGATGGAGTCGTCCACATGGACGAAGACTCAGAAAGAGCAGCGGGTAGTAGAGGGTCAAGTCTTTCAGATTTACAACTTCTTCTACAGCATCCCGCCCAATTCCCAGTCTGTCATGTCAGTTCTTTTTTCAATCGACCCCTTTCTAGGGTTTTCATACTACTTCAGATTTCAAGAAAAAGGCATATATATGATTATGGATGTTTCTCCTAATCTGCCTGTTCGTTCTTATGTCCAATTTCACCCGTCAGGTTGGAAATTCAACGAGATATGCATATACAGTATCTTTCCAGTGGACTGCGTCGCCTTGGTCCATCATTTTCCGTTCTAGATGCCAAGTATGGTTGATTCCTGCAGTTTTTATTGTTAATTTGTTCTTTTTGAAAAACTCGCACTTGAAAGATATGACCAAGTAATGCTGATTTACAGCCGGCCCTGGCTTTGTTATTGGATGATCCACTCAATCTCTGTGTTGGGCGAGTCGATTGAGGACGAATTGAAAGACGATGTCATTGACTTTCTCAGTCGCTGCCAGGTTTGACAATCTTCTGGTAGTTTAATGGTTGTCCTTCCTTTTCACAACTTTCTTAAGAAGGAATGGCGTCTCAATTTTTAGCAGCAAAAAGAATTGCATTATGTAGGATAAATTCCATCTTCTAACCATTGTGATATTCACCAACTGAGGCTTCTGGGTATGTTGAAATTGCAATGCATTTGATTGTAATGAACCTTGGGAAGGTTGAGGATTATGTTTAATATAATACTAAACTAATTTTGTTTATGTCGTGAGGGTTAAGGTATGAGATATATTTGTATTAAATCATGGCCCCAATGGAATGGAGTCAGAATTTAGTCCCACTCACAAGTTCATAAATCACAACACCTTTCCGGTCTGCTTCCTACAAGTAAAAACTGGATACTGCTGGATGGATTTATGCAAATGGGTCTCCTTTAGTCTCCGCCTCCATTGCTAATGGAGCTAAAAGATTCATTTTTTTCAATGTTTTAGCTCCAGGTAATTAGGTAAATAATCTACTGAATGATAATAATGATTTGCATTTCCCCTGCTTCTTACTTTATATGGCGTTTTGGTGAGTAAATGCAACAATGCATCAAGGCCACAAGGCTCAAACAGAAGCGTCGCTGCTTATACTCCCATTTTCTGCTCAAGGGTTTCCTGAAATTAAGTTCTTAGTTCCTAAAGATATTTTGCTTGAAGCCATGAGTGGTCTTTGGCGCTCCTCACTCCCTGCCCCCAATTTCAATTTTCAAAACAACTTCAGCATAAATTGAGCAAATTCCTCACCCCCTCAATATATTTTGGTCACTGCAAAAAATTCTAGCTAATTTCTTCAAAAAGCATGTTCCCAAATTTGTTCAATCTTTTTTATAGATGTTTTGGGTTTTTTCGCTGTTCAGAGATCTCACCATCATCTATGGTAAGCCACCGCAGAAGAGCTGCAGCTTTGCTGTCAAAGTCATCAAGACCCCATTGTTTGGTTGCTGCACTGTTAAATAAATTCTGAGTGAGTGTAAGATCAAATAGGAACTTAAATGTGGGACAAATAGAGTCTATTCATTTTGTAATAATCATCTGAAAGGTTCTATATCTGTTTCCAACAATACCAATCACAACAACGCCTTCTTATCCCACTAGGTGGGCTGAGATACATGGATCAAACGACGCCAGTGCTCCCTATCATGTAATAATGTATCATATTCGCATTGAGATTGTTCACGCGTAGATCACCTTGACCACTTCGAGCCAAGTTTTCTACTTTTCTTAGGTCTACCTCTTCCTCCAGGCTCCAACTACGTGTCTATTTTCTATTCGATCCACTCTTCTTAATGGATGCTCTACTAGAGTTCTAGTCTCTTCTCAACATGTTCAAACCGCCTAAGATGGGTTTCCACCATCTTTATAATCACTGGTGCTACTCGAACTTTCTCTCTCATATCTTCATTCCTTTATTCTATCCATACGTGTATGCCTGCTAATCCATCGAAGCATCTTCATTTCGGTCATACCAAGTCCATTTTATACAGAGAAAGTGATAATAATGTGATATAAATATCCATCATACTTTTATTGTTGCCTTTTTGACTTTTTCATGACCACAGGATCCAAATGGAGGATATGGAGGTGGACCTGGTCAGGCAAGTTTATCTCAAGAATTAATCGCTTTTGTAATTTTTTTTCTTATGTAATTTTGAATGAGATTTTTTTCCTTGGTCAGATGCCACATCTTGCGACAACCTATGCTGCAGTTAATACACTTATTACTTTGGGAGGTCAAAAATCTTTCTCATCAATCAAGAGGTTACCTATCCCAACACTCAATCATCTGCTTCATGTCATGTGTTATAAAGTGTGATCCTGACAAGTTTGTTAGTATATATCAGAGAAAAACTATACTCATTTTTGTTGCGAATGAAAGAGGAAAATGGTGGTTTCAGGTAGGTATCTCTTGGCTTATTGCACTTTAATTTTACTCTATCTTGCATGGGTTCTTCAAACAAGTGTAATTTTTTCGTCCCCGTAACATCCCTGTTTGGGTACTTGGGATGTCCCGACACCCAAATTCTTTGTAAGATTTGGAGAATTTGGTGTTTCCCCATTCACGACCATGTACCCATATGAGTACTTGTCCCCGTCTCCGTTCAACTTAGCCTTAACTGATCAGAATGTATGTGGTCACAAATTTAATCATATTCCCTTTGCAGTGTTTCTGCTAATCAGCAAATTGTGCATTATCCTTTGATTTTTTTTTAAATATTTTCTTTCAGGATGCATGACGGGGGCGAAGTTGATGTCCGTGCATGCTATACTGCCATTTCAGTGAGTTTGAGCTACTATGTATTATGTATTAATTATTTCCTTCCATATCCCGATCACCCAACATAAATAATACAAGCACAATATAGAGTATAAGATATTATAATAGGAATAATAATAATAATTTTGACAACTGAAGAAGCTCTTTCACAAACTTCTCCTTTCCGCAAGTCATTTCAACAGAAGACATGAAATCTTTGGACAGGTTGCAAGCATCCTGAACATTCTTGATGCAAAACTAATTCATAATGCCGGAAATTTCATTGTAAGGTTTGTTTTTTTAACATGTCACTTTTCCTAGGGAATGTATATCGTTTCCCTTACAAATACCCATTTATACATCTATTCAGCATATATTATACACAATGTGCGTCCTTTAGTCTTGTTTGCTGATATTTATTATTGAGTGTGAGTGCTTAAGGTTGATGTCCTGTATTTTGAAGTGACGTGCTGAATATATTTCTGGGAAAATAGCCACATAGGAGCTAAGTTTTTCAGTAATGGTCCGAAGTACGACTGATAATTTTGAGGAACTATAGTAATAGACACTTTAATCTTTTATGTTCTCAAACTGTCACTATCATTATTTGCAGTTGTCAATCCTATGAAGGTGGGATTGCTGGAGAACCAGGTTCAGAAGCTCATGGTGGGTAAGTCACATACCATCTTTGTTCTGTAAATGTCTTTGGTGGGAAAAGCTAGTTCCATGTATCTCAATTTATTACTCCATATATGATTAGTTTGAGTGTTTTTATTTATGCACCCTGCAAATTGCATATTCTCTGGGCTTTTGTGATGAGCCTTTGCCGTCTATTGTCAAACCTCTGCTATAGAGTTTTGTCTATTCTTTTTCGTACATAACCTGCAGTGAATCTTTTTAGCTGCATACATAATCAATTAGATCCCTGTGATGGCAGGTGGCCTTGGTTTATATCTTGAAAAACTTAGTGCTAAAATAAAAATGAATAAAATAATGTTGAAATGTTATGTGATTACATATAATTTTAATTTGTTAATATTTCAATTTGTTTAAAACCTCAAATATATACTTTCTCCGTCTCCAAAATAAAGTCAATTTAAGATTTACGATGGTCTGAAATTACTTTGAATTTAATTAATTTTAAAATTAGTGTAGAAATAAAAAATAAAATTTATATATGTAACTACTGCATCATAATTTCTACTCCATACAAAACGAGGTGACATGACTATTATTTTTTCAAATGATCAATGAAAGTATGTAAGGGAAGAATATATAGTTGACCATGTGAAGAGTGATTGTGTATTTGTTTTGGGGACAGAGGGAGTAATGGAATATATCAAATTATAGCCAAAGCCTTCGGAAAATCTTAGTATTACCATCTGATAGGGTTTCTGCCCAGGTACACATTCTGTGGTTTAGCTGCAATGGCTCTGATGAATGAAGTTAATCGTTTGGATTTGCAAAGCTTAATCGTAAGTTTTCTCTCTTTTTCAATAGCCCTCACAGGTGGAATTCCTTAATTTGTAATTTCATATGGCTCTAGTAATGCTCCATTATGAAAGAAGTTGCTGATTTGTTTATGGCTTTATGCTTGTGGTAGGATTGGATGGTATTCAGGCAAGGAGTTGAAGGTGGATTTCAAGGGAGAACCAATAAATTGGTAGATGGTTGCTATTCATTTTGGCAGGTATTAGCACTTTACTTCAGAAAGAAGAAGATTTATATCCAGAATCTGAGATCATTAACCTTTGTATGGAGACTTCACAGGGTGGAGTTGCTGCAATATTACAAAGGTTGTGTTTGGATGCTGTGGATTGTGAATCTAGTTTTGGGAGTGACCATGATGAATCTGTTGTGTGTAGTTCATCGGATGGGGAGGACCATCTTGACGGAACTTCGTCTCACAGTGATGAAGTTATTCATCTAGGGGAGGGAGGAGGTATCAACACATTGACCACAATCTTTTTATCTTGGGATTTTTCAATGCCTAGAATTCCTCAATTCCCCCATAACCAGAAGTTTTAAATAGGGGACTAATTGTATCTCGATTATAACCTTCTTGCCAAAATACCTCTTTTCATCTAAATGTACAAAAGTAAAAAGATACTAATACTACCATGGTATATCATCCATCGTACTTAGCATACCTAAGCTTTATTACATATTTTTTGGAAGGAAGAACATAAAAATCAATAAGATTTAGCTTTTGTTGAAATATGGCTTTTTTTAAAGACAAAAGCTGGTTTGAACTAATATAATGTTCAGGATGATTGCATACAATAAAAGTTGAGGAACTAGGAGCTTGTTCTCTTCAATTTATTCTTATTACTTATTCTTATTGGAATCAGATTAGACCAAATCAAATCAGAAATAGGTTTAAATATAACTACAATCAGATCAGACCTTTATAAAATTAGATCAGATCCAGTGAGAACAGACGAAGAGAACAAGCTCTATATTTGCAAAATCTGACCGATATTCCATATCACATGTTTTTTTTTAAAGAAAGGAGGGGCTAAGAGTGAATGCCCATTAATTATATCAATAGAAGCAGCCTACTTTTGAACTTCCTGAACTTCAAAATCTGAATTTATGTCATCTGTACCATTTGGATAATTTCAGCTGGACCAGAACATGATGGTGCTGTTGAACCTGTGAACTTGAGTGACATCAGCTATGATTTCATCAGCGGGCAACATGCTTCTCGAACACCTTTATTCGACAGCATCGGTTTGCAGCGTTACATCATACTTTGCTCACAGCATGTATTGGCCACCACCCTTGTCTTTTTTCTTTTTATTACATTTATGGTGTGTTTGGTTGGAGGAGAGCCACCTTCTCTAACGGAACACTCAGTTTAAAATTTCCCCTCCCCTTTCCTTCCCTTCTAACAAATCAAATGAAGTAACTTTTTCCTATAACCAAACACACTCATAGGGTCCCCGTTTGGTGAGTTTTGGAGGATTGAATATGATATGACTTGTGAAATTTGGAAGAAATGGTATTGATTCTGAAATCTAAAATGAAGGTGCTTGGACGGCGTCGAATCCCCATATTGAATTCTCCCTAATTTCGAGAGAGATAAAAACAATCGTATTTGGGAGGGTTGTGATATCAGAAGATATCAAATCTGAACCCTGATTAAGATTCACCAAACACCTGTAAACGGATTATGAAATCAGGAAATATCAGAACCCATATCTCGCACACTCACCAGAATAACTAAATCGACTTTTCATTCACTTCTCTATTTTTAAATTAGAAGAAGAAATAACATATGTGGATATGGTTTGATACATGCAGGTAGATGGCGGCGGTTTCAGGGACAAACCAGGGAAGCCTAGAGACCACTACCACACCTGTTACTGCTTGAGCGGTCTTTCTATATCACAATACATCTGGGCAAAAGACTTCAATACCCCTCCGTTTCCCGGGCACGTCCTGGGCCCTTATTCCAATAACCTGGTGGAGCGGATTCACCCTCTGTTCAACATTGTCATAGACCGATACTACGAAGCTCGCCAGTTCTTCTCAAGTGCGTAATAATCTCTTTGTCTCTCTTCTTTTCTCTGTGGCATGCCCATATGCAATGGATTCTCTCTTTTGTCACACCAGTGTGTCTAAGAGTAAGCATTGTGTACACTAGTCTGTGACTTTTTACATTTAAACCTGACATGAACAACTCCTCTTATTAAGTACTCTGTGTTTTTTTTTTTGAATTGATTATCACAAATAACTGACACATATATTTACTTGAAGCAATGTCTCAAATAGCTAACATGTACTCCTAGGAGTAGCATGCCAATGACATGTGATTTTGTATTAGTAGTTTTTAACTTGTTAGCTCATAATTTTGAATTTGCTATTCCCACCGTTTGTAAAAATAGTTTCTATTTTGATTTTTGTCAGATCTTTGTAATTTGATTTTCTAATTATATCTTTAGCATCGAACAAAAAAAGAGAAATAGATTAAATAATTTATTGCATCAATGCAAAATGGATAGAGTATATAGCAATGACTTTTTTTAATATACTTTGTATTTGTCTTTTTTTATAAAACTGGAAGTTTTTTGGACAAGTTTTGGCATGAATCAAGCACAATCAATTTCAATACCCTTGTCTCATAATAATGATCTACAATGACTTTTTTTATGTCCTAAAATAAAGTTCTATTTTTTGTGGCTTACATCATCTCTCTCATTAACATCACTTTTAATTAATAATCTTATTTTTGTAATGTTAATTATGGAACAATAATAGAGGTAGTACTCCTTCCCTCTAGTGTATTCATTCAACTTGATCTTTTTCGAGTCAGACTAGATAAATTTTTATCATGAGTTAGTCTCAATTTCTAGGACATTTTAATATAATGAAATTAAATTTTGGAAAATTCTCTATAAAATAAATAAATCATTTTTATATTAAAATATGTACATTACAATTTTTATTCAAATGCAATTTAAAACTTGTCTAATTTAATTTTAAAAAATAAAACATGACAAATACACTGGAATATTATGATATACTCTATCCGTCCCAAAGTTGATTACAATTTTTTTCATTCACCTCTCGATAAATTTTGCATATTTGTTTGTTTTTACTGATTATTTGATTAAATAAATTTTTTTTGTGACCTATAGTTTTATAAAACTTTTAACATAGTTTTTTAATATGTATTATCTCCGGTCCTTAAAAAATTTTTTGTTTTGATTTTTTGTCAGACAGTGACACATTTTGACCACAAAGTTAAACATAATTTTAAATAAATAAATGATAAAAAAATTTGATATATTAAAACTATATCCTAAAATGAACTTAATTATATTGATTTTATATTATAATTAAATAAATTTTTTCTTACAATTTATGGTAAAAAAAATTTTATTGCTAGAATAGTTTTTAGTTTTTGTTGATATATCAATTTATAAATAAAATAATATTGAAAAAAGAGAAATTTTGCTTCCTAAATCAAGTGAGTAATGCTCCGATCGGATTATGGGAAGAGCATACCAACCGTCGATTGAACGTTAAAATGAAGTGGGCCCAGAAATCCCTGTGGCACATGGTAACACCATGCTCCTCACCGCACGTTACGAAGACCTCCGGTGACCTTTACCCAGCCGCCGGAATCGTAACCAGTCCCATCATCTTTCTCTCTCAGACGGCCGGGAATGGCTTCCTGCTCACACTCGCTCCTTTCTTCTTCTTCTTCTTTATTCTCTACGAATGGAGTTATAGCTATCCGCCGCTGTTCTCCGACAGACGCCAGATTTTCTCCCTGTAAATCTCTGTTTTACTGCCGGAACCCTAGCATTACGACTTGCGCGTTCCGGCGCAGCTCTTCCGGCGAGAAATCTCGCGCCAATAAGGTACTGGATTCCATTTTAGTGGCGTGCACTTCTGCAGCTTTGTCGCTCTCTCTGCTCCTTGCGGATGTGGATCATGCGTCTGCCTTCGTGGTCACTTCGCCAAGGAAGCTGCAGACTGATGAGCTCGCCACTGTCCGGCTTTTTCAGGAGAATACGCCTTCAGTTGTCTATATCACTAACCTAGCTGCCAGGTGATTTTCCATACCCTTGCGATTCGGTGGTAGGAACTCCAAGAACATGGAGGTTCTTCTGCAAAATGGCTACTTGTAGTGCCTATTATGTGATTCTTGATTTTGGCACACATTCTATGTTATGTCTAGTTATTAATTATATTGTGCATTTAGCCTCATTTCATTAACAAAAACCAAAATCAGCTCAGGTAGTGTGCTAGTGGTTTATAATGTTTATTTATTAGATTATTTCTCCCTTCATACCCTTTTAGCTCTAATCTTTTCCTTTTTGGTCATCTCTAACTAATACGAAGTACTTTGCATCCCTCAATTGTGTGGTCCATATTTATTCCTTCATTTCTAAATAAATCTCAACTACACAATTTTATTTTCTTAAACTGTGAGTTAAAAGCAAAATGTTGACATCATAATGGGAGTTCATATTTACTACTTGCTACCATGCTAGTGGCACCATGCTACATACTCCGTATATACTATAGTAGTTGAGTTTATGCAGTTCAAATGGTGCGATCTTGTAACAGTAAAGGGAAAATCAGGCTATTTCAGAATTTTCAAATATTTAGATTTTTGTGATTGGGGGCCCTGCCCACAATTTTTTAATCGACCGTGTTGGTTTCAGTGAAACAAGCTTCTTTGGGATGAGCATATTAGTTTGCTCCCTCCATCCCACTCTGTTTGTCCCATCTTTCCAATTTCGCTTGTCCCAAAAGTATTTGTCTCATAAAATATCTAGTTATATTTATGTGTTTCAAATTCATACATACTTTACATATTCAATATCAACTACACGAATCCATTTTTCCTTAATTTGCGTATTACTGTCCCTTGTCCAAACTTAGTGGTGCAGATTTAGTGTTATTATAGCTGAACTACAGAAGGTCTGTGTTCTCCCATTTAAGTATTTAACCCGTTAAATATATCTTTTGCGCTCCTCCACTTGATTATTTTGCTCATGTTTACTCTGCATGTTTCCCTAACCGATTTGGTTGGTTTCTCTGTTGATTATGGACCCTCTTTGATATTTAGGCAGGATGTGTTCACATTAGATGTGTTAGAGGTGCCTCAAGGTTCTGGCTCTGGCTTTGTGTGGGATAAAGATGGTCACATTGTCACCAATTATCATGTTATCCGTGGTGCATCAGACCTCCGGTTAGTCATTTTTTTTATTTATAGTAAATTGACCTGTGGTGACAACTTTCCTTTTTATGATGATTGACATTTTGTTAGTTTTTTTTTTGAAAGGGACAATTTGTTGTTAGTTGATGTGTTGACATTTGAATTTTTTGGATAACTTGCGTGCTTGAGATGATGCACAGGTTTCCTAAATCGGCTGGTGTGGCAATCTGCACCAAATATATGTACTTATTTTCTGGGTTCAACCATCTGGTTAGCTCCCAAATAGAAATAAGTGGACACCATAGCTGCCTCAGAAGAAACACAAGTGTTCACCACATCACCTAATATAATGTACGGAGTATTAAGTAATATATCCACCATAATCTGAAGATTGAGCCGTCAAATGCACAAAATAAATGATATGAGTACTCTTGAAAATGAATATGGGAGTTTATGGGAAGAAATTTATCGATCAAGGGGTACCGAATGTGCCTTAAGCGATTCAACTATTTAAGCCTTTGTTTGGTTTAAAGAAGAAATAGTGAAGAGAGAAATATGTGAGAAAGATATAGAGATGATAGAAATAATAGGGAAACTGGATAAATTTGGTGTGTTGATTGACATGAGAGAAATGTGTAGAGAAGTTGAGTAGTATTGCATTTCTTTCCTATTTCTCTCCATGAAGAAGAAGAATTCTAAGTGGTTCAAAATATTTCTCTCTTTTTTCTATTTCTCTCTTAACCAAATAAGAGAACTACATTTCTCTCCACTTACTTCTCCCCTTCCTGTTTTACCCAACAAAACAAAGACTTAAGGATGTGTGATTACTCACATTTTTTGTTTCACTTAATTATTGTACGTAGTATTTGACAAGTTGGCAATGATTCTTTAAGTGTTTGCCTTCAAGATCTGGATTCTGGGGGGAATATCAAGTGTGTTTACATGTCATGTTCAGGGTCACTCTTTCTGATCAGAGTACTTATGATGCAAAAGTTGTTGGATTCGACCAAGATAAAGATGTTGCTGTGCTAAGAATTGATGCACCCGAAGAGAAGTTGAGACCTATACCAATTGGTGTATCCGCAGACTTGCTTGTTGGTCAGAAAGTATATGCCATTGGAAATCCTGTAAGCTAACTCAAAACTTTAGAGAAATTGTGCCCGCAGATTTGCCTATCCCGCATTCCTGCCTGTTCTCGTATGCTCTATTGTCAATGAATTCCCTAAGGTTTGGTTTATCATTGTTGGTAACTGATGAACAGTAAACAGATTGCCCTTGACCTTCGGCTTTAAGTAAACCTTATTTTCTGGTTTCAGCGGGTCTTCTCTGTGCTACCTGTTACTCCGTATTTGATAGTATAAATTGTTAGCACCAATGTAAGAACCTGCTCTTCTAGTGTAAGAGCTGTATCATGCCAATCATAAAATGTTGTACCTCGATATTTTTAAATGTGGTTGTTCTTAGCTATGTAAATTTACATATAATTGGTTTGGCATTTTGCCTGCGCTAAATTTTGCATAGACTGATGTATAACCAATTCTTTAAAAAATTATATTTGCAGTTTGGGCTTGATCATACGCTCACTACCGGTGTCATCAGGTAAATGAGAGAAATCTGTATTGGTTCCTGAGATGATTTTTATCTTTCGAGCACTTGCATGTCACTGAAATACTGAATGCTATCCAACTTACGCCATGTAGTGGCCTCAGAAGAGAAATTAATTCTGCAGCAACTGGCCGTCCAATCCAAGATGTTATCCAGACAGATGCTGCTATAAACCCAGGGAATAGTGGAGGACCGCTTCTTGACAGTTCTGGAAACCTTATTGGTATTAACACAGCTATATACTCCCCTTCCGGTGCATCCTCTGGCGTTGGATTTTCAATTCCAGTTGACACGGTGAGTTCCTATGTGTTGAGTATAAAGAGTGTGCTAAGTAATCTTCAAAATTCTACTAACAGAGACACTGCGTTAAGGTATAGACTTCTCCATAAAGCTTCATATACACATGTCACATTGTGTGCTGGTTTAGGACATGTGTGGCAGATCAGTCCCTCTGTCCCATAAAACGGTTTCACGTTTGATTGGATACATTGTTAAGAAATTCAAAAGTGTGTGGTTCAGATTTATACAAAGGGGGAATATACGGGTTAATATGAACCTTACAACTCTTTCCTAGGGAAGGAGAATCTTATTTTGGGGCGGACAAAAAAGAGAGAATATTTCTTTTGGGACAAGACTCAAGAGTATTAATAAATTGTTAAATGCAGGTAAGTGGCATTGTTGATCAGTTGGTAAGGTATGGGAAAGTAACCCGACCAGTTTTGGGCATTAAGTTTGCTCCAGATCAGTCTGTGGAGCAACTTGGAGTTAGTGGGGTGCTGGTCTTGGATGCTCCTCCAAATGGTCCAGCCGGGAAAGCAGTAAGTCCAAATATTACTTGCTACTTGCTGTCTAATAGTCTAATACTTGGGGTGTTTTGTTGGAAGGAATATCTTTTCATTTCATTGTTAATTCCCTGCACCATTTGATTCCTATGTTTGGTGGGCTGGATAGTTTCCTCCCAGGAAATTTAATTCCCCAAACACAAGGGGAAAAATATTCCTAGCCAGTAGCCACTATTTATTCCACATGCATCCTTAGCAACCGAACTACGGTATTTGAAATCCCTTTGTATTCTCCACAAATTCTTCTTCCACTCTTTTTTGTGCACCAAATGACCCAGTGGTATGAGGATGTCCCGATCCTTCTGGTTCAAGTGAAAGTGCTCCTATGAGCCATTGAGGCGTAGCCCAAGTGAGAGATGACTAGTTTTATAGCTCGTTTGGTGTTCTTTAATTTTGGCTTAACGACCTAATCATTAAATTGAACTGAGGGTCTCTTGGAAACAGTCTTTCTGGAGTTTCTGCCCCCCAAGTATGGGCAAGGTCTACGTGCACACATCCTCCAGGCCTTATTTTTCATGGGATTTAACGAGGTTTGTTGTTGGTGTTGTAGTAGCTTAATTACTTGATTTTTTTACAAAACACTAACGGCTTTGAGTACTGAGTAGCCAGCCATTCCACATTGATGATCCTTACTTAATGAATAATACTGCTGATTTTTTATTCTGTGGTCTTCCCACCCCAGGGGCTTCTAGCGACTAAGCGTGACGGATTTGGCAGACTTGTGCTGGGGGATATAATTACTTCAGTAAATGGTAAAAAAGTCACTAATGGCACCGATCTATACAGAATCCTGGACCAATGCAAAGTGGGTGAAAAGGTTTGTTGGCACATACATACCCTCAACACCAATGAATTTGGATCTTGCTAGTTTCCCCAAGATTGCCTTCCCTTCCCTTTCACATGGACAATCGCGTACTTATATAAATGTCCGTTATGACTTCCTACGTACTTTAAGAATCATATTGAATGTGGACACAGCGTATGTCCACGTTCATTCATGTTTTACTGTATGTAAAAAGTTACAATGGACAGTTCTCTAAAAACAAAGGAGCTAGGTACATGGTTTCACACAGTTTCAGAAACAAGAGCCCTCTTGTTTCTGAGACTGTGTGTGTATGCAAAGGGGAAGGGTAATCTTGGAGGCAACTTTACATTTTCCATTAAATTTACTCTTTTTTTTTCTTTTCTAATCATCCCAATGCTGCTATATCACACCAATGTATTTATTTTTTTATAATATGAATAGGTAATTGTGGAAGTTTTACGCGGTGATCACAAGCAAAAGATTCCGGTGATTCTGGAACCAAAGCCTGAGGAAACATAAGATGTCTTGTTGTACTCTAAAATTTTAAACAAAAAAAGGAGTAAAAACCCTATGGTAATTTGGTATAGGCATTGAAAGGTGTACATAACGAATGCAGTCTTTTTAACAAGACATTTCTGCCCCTTGTAGACATCACTGGTGGATGTCCTGTGACCTGATATTTCAATGGGCATATTTGTAATTTTTGAATACAATTGTTAACAGTTGAATGCGGAGTAATTTGTAAACTTGCTTTTGTTCAATCAGTAACTGATAATAAGATTTATCTAGTAAGACATTGTTGACTTGAATGTGGTTGGATATTTGAACTTTGAGCCTTTGGTTTATGTTTTTTAGTAGGGTCATGCTACACTTTCACCAAAAATTGTACCCCATTTGTACACCGTAGTTATACACAAACATTTTGATGGTTTACACCGACACAAGTGTTGGTGCATTAATAAAAATTCATAAAGTGTTGGTGCGTTAACAAAAATTAGTTTTACACCAACACAAAATGTCGGTGCAACCCTGCGGTGTATAAAATGAGGTACAAAAGTTTGGGGTACAAATAGCTTTATCCTTTTTAGTATTATGTCCGTCTCGAAGTTTGTCTCAAAACTAAAATCTTACTTTTCATAATTGATGTCTCAAACCTAAAATCTCATTTATATACTCTCTTCATCCCTAATTTGATTACAAATTGAGAGTTGGGAGGCCAAATTTGTCATCTTTTGAAATCATTTTATTTACAAATCGATACATCAATGATAAATAAAAATTACATTAGTTCTAAAAAATGGAAAATGAAAAGAATATTTTATATTATCAAATACTCAATAAAAATACACAAATAAACAAAAGTTATCGAGATGAGAGAAAAAAATTGTAATATATTTCAGGACGGATGGAGTATTTTGTTTACTTGACCCGTTATAAAAACTATAATACCCTTATTTTCAACAGTTTTTTCCTACCCATCCCCATTTATTTTCCAACATATCACTCTCACACACGATCATTTCAATGTTGGGCAAAATTGGAAGGTTAAACACATAAACACTTGTCTTGATTTGTTTGAAGTTCCCGCTCGATACTCATGACATTGGGTTTCAATGTCGCACATTGGCCCAAATTGAGACACCGACGATGCTTAGTTCATAAAATTGAAAGTTCATACCGTTCTAACTCCCTGGTAAAGCTCCCCGCGACCCACCTCGACCCAATCCAGAACAACTCTCTCACTCCTTCAATTGCACCCCCTGCCCCCCCACCCCCACCCCCATTTTGTTTAACTTTGGAGTTAAAAAAAATTTGCTCCAAAATCAACTATATTTTAGTGGTGCAATTGAAGGGAGTGGGAGTGGGGGTAGGGTCGGTTCAAAGTGGAGTTTACCGTTGAGATTAGGGAGGATAGGAACCATCAATTTTAATAACCGGACATTGTAAGTACTTCAATTAGGACTAATGTCATCCCATTACATGAAGGAAACCCCACCCTTAGTTCAAGTGAAAATTTAGTAATGAGATGGATGAAGTATATGATATGGTTAATACGGAGTACATGTTTAAACTCTTCGGAGTCCTAAAAAATGGATGGTTCTTGCCTCAACATCTGGAACCAGTATACTATTATGAACTTAATATTAAAACACACCTTGTTAGATATACTTCCATGTATAAGTACTTATATTCACTTAAATATGTGAGCTAAAAACATGAAGAATAAAGCTACTTGTACAATAAGGGTTGTACCCCAAATTGTACACTAATGGTTCAGACTGACACAAAATATTGTGCAAATTGAACATTAATCAAGATTGACAAAATCTAACCACACAAGTCAAACATTTCAAGAAATATTATTCTGCATAATGATACATTGTCACTCAAAAGTCACAAAACTAGACATGGAACCAATTCACATACATCAAAGCAAGAAGACCTTATATGTTACATTCATACATTGTTACAATAGCCTTCTTCTTCCTTCTTCATTTTTTTTAGAAAATAACTGTATTCCGATCGAGTTCTTCATCACATACCTCACCTAAAAAAGAGATGCCCGCCTCCTCTTTGGACAGTAGATAGCAGAATCAATCGAATCGGCAGTTCATCTGGAATTTGACCTTTAGACAGTTCCTATTCTCATTTGCATTGAGGAACTTAACAGAAGAATTTCATATACAATGAAAATTTCGTGTAGCGTCTGCTATTTGGGGGATAGCCTTATAGGGCAAATAGAGAAAGCAATGCACCGAGCTGCTTTTGCAAGCATAAATCGCTCGTTTTCTGTCAATGGCCTCTCAATAACCTTCACAATATTTGAATCCTACAGCAATATAATAAGAGTAAAAAAAATATCTGAGCATAAATAAATTGCAATTACCATGAAAATCAAATTAATACCCCAACCCCAAATTCATGACAACTTTTTTTTTTAAATTTTTTATTTACCGAAGCATGATTGCATACACTATCTATTATCCATCCTCACCGAAGCATGATTTTTTAAATTTTTTAATCACTTATTTATTTTAGTGTACTTGGGGAGGAGAAGACTAACCTTCTTCTGTTGTTGCATAGAAGGCCTCACACTTGCAACATCGCCGACCACAATCACATTATTGATATTACCTTTCTCATCCCTTTCAGTTGGTGAAGATGTAGAATGCCTCCACTGTCCATTAATGATATACTTATAGTAGTACCTAATAAACAAAGGTACCAAGCTCTTAGGTGTATAAAGTAAAAACTAAAAGTACCACTGAGACACAGGCAGAAGAAAGAGTATTGAGGATGGGTGATAATAAATAATGAAGAGGACAATTACCAAAAATGTTCAATACTAATCCTTTCCTTCCAAAATAATACTCTTGTTTCTAAACTTATATTTGTCCCAAAAACCGAGCCCAATTTGACCCAAAAAACTAATTTGCATCATACTCCGTATTTAATTTAAAAAAAATATTGCATAAGAAATGTATAAAACAAGTTGAGTGTGTTAATTTAGTTAAAACAACAAATAAATTTTAAAATCTAGATACATTTGATTGTTTTTAATACTTATACCTGAGTAAAATAAAAAGTTGTATATTTGTGAAACATAAGTCTTTTAGAGTTTTAGTGGGAGGGGGGATGTGTTATTCGACTTTAAGATGTTCCAAAAAAATATCAGTACCATAATAGATTTTAAAATAGCATATGGGAATGCTTAAATATGCATTTTCTGTCATTTGGTAAAGGAATTGAAAAAATATGCAGTTGCTAGAAATTGGAAAAATGATGGTTTGGTTCAAAGAAAACAATTGCCTAGAGCCCTAGACCCTTATGCCACAACTGCTTATGGAACAAAAAAGGAAAACCTCAAAAGCATATATTTAGCATTCCATCCCTTTTGAAGCTGACGGTATCAAATGAAATGGAACTGTCAATATTCTTAAGAGAAAAAGAAGCATTACTTACTTTCCATGTGAGAGTCGAACATCAGTCTCAAATCTAGGGCCAGCTTTGTGGACTGCTTTAATTGGTTCTTTCCAGTTCCCAGTAAAATCCCCAACCAAGTAGACATCCTCTCCCTGCAATAAAAGAGTGACAATGATATATCACTGTTGCGACTTGTGAGGATCAGACATTCTGGACATGTACATGTGCCAACCGCATTAAAGAAGAAAAAAAACTTCCTCCCTCACATAGTGCAAAATACATTTGGGGTTGGCATAGTTCTTATGAAAATGAGATTATATTTAGTTGAGTTCGTTTACCATTTTAACCTAGTAAAAAGATGAAAGTGGTATGGGCCTTACACAAAGTAAAAAGGATGAAAGGATAAAGAGGGAAGTGAAAGGGAAAGTGAACATGATTTTGAGACGGATAAAAGGAAATTATATCTAACAAAAAGGGATAGAGGGAGTACTTCATATATTACAGACTTTCTCTGATTATCAGATATTCATCCTAGGATAATTATGTGAAAGACACTGCTAAGGCGTTAACTGCTTTTAGCTTATTTTACCTCATGCCCATTCCACACAAAGGTAACAACATGTGTTGCAGGTCCATCAAGTGGACCAGATTCCACCATTGCTATAAGATCCCATGTTCCCCAGGCAATGGCTGGTCTGCACGTTATTGAACAACATTTTTACAACATTATATGGCACACACAAAAAAAAATCTATGGAATCTATTTACTTCATCTGCCCACAAAGATAGACCTGTATGTAATTTGATATGCAATTCTCACTCTTGCTCATTTGTAAAATTAATTAATGAATTACTCCTATCTTGGAACTACAACTACAACAACATCCCGTCCAATGCGGGGTAAGGGGTTAGAAGTATGCAGAGATCTATGTTTATAACATAGACCGGCTGTTTCCAAATGACCCATGATGAGTATTGAAAGTTGCATTGACTAACTGCTACTTCACTATTAAAGAAGAGCAGATGATTTAAAGAACAGACAACAACAACCCGGTTGAATCCCACAAGAGTAGGGTCTCGAGACAATTTAAAGAACCATTTTGCTTTATTCCATCATACCCCAAATCCAAAAAATAGTGAATCTTTGGCTCCATGACTGTGAAAATAAATATTTAAATAGGGGCAAAACTGAAAATGAAAAATGAAATGCACAGATAATGCATAATATAAAGACTGAACTATCTTTGTGGGACAGATCAAACTGGAATACAAGACTACCGTTGTGGGACAGAGGGAGCATTTAATTTTGACTGCCATTAGAAATTCCTGATGGAATGATGAAATCAAATGATAATACGGAAAAGCAAGGGTTGATGTAGCTAAAAGATTTAGTGAAAAGCCAAATAACTGTCAAAGGAAGCATTGTGGGTGATGTAGATCCATGCCAAACCATCACTAGTTACGTTTGTGAATATCTAATTGCCAACTGATGAAAACTACATGCCTCAAGGGGAACTTATGGACCACAACATTAAATTCTAGACACAAGTGTTCAGTATCCCTAGTCCCTACTGCATTTGCAGCATAATAAAAAGTGCATCCATTAGTAACCACTACTTTTTGCACACCTAAATACATTGTATCTAAGGAAGATATCACACTAACAACCTTTTCGTTCATGGGATGAGGTAGCAGTAAAGACTAAAGAATATGGAACATTCGATATATATACTATTCAATAAGATTAATGTACACAAGCACACACATTAAAGAGCTAGAAAGAGGGATAAGAAGAAGAGTAGATGTTGGTGAGAAAAACCTGTCAGGCTTGCAGGAATGTAAGCCAGTGACGAAATTATAGGCTGCGTGAAGGGAAGTATCAGTCATCCAATGAAGGTATGCAATCACACAAGCAGGGGAACGATCAAACCCGTTGGTGCATGTGACATAAACACGATGGTTCTTTTTCAATAAGCGAAGAAGAAGGCCAACACAAAATGGTAGTTTCTTCCTCATATCGAAAGAATCTCCCTCCCTGCTCAAGAAATGAATACTGATCAACAACTTTCTTTTACCATCTGCTACATTAACCAAAAAATAAATATTCCCTCAGTCCCAAGAAACTTTAGCCACTTTGACTTTAATGGAGTTAAAGAAAAGTGTTTAAAAGTGAAAAAGTGCATGGTTAAAATTAGTTTAAGCAATAGAGAAATCTTGTGAGCCACATGTTCATTACTAAAAAAGAAAATCAAGTGGGAAGTCAACAACTTTTTACTTTTCAACAACTTTATTAAACTCTGTGAAGTCAAACAAAGTAACTCTTTTGGGGACGGAGGGAGTATTATAAAGGGGAAAATGGAACCTTAAACACATGAGTTATACATTCAACAAAGTGACCATTCTCTAGTAAGAGCTTTTCCCAAAGTGGCTCTTTTAGTAAACCACCCCACACTTGATATTATAGAGGACTGAAAAGCCACTTCAGAGAAAAGTGGAGTGAAAACGGATTGGTCAGTAATTGAGGCCTAAACTGTACTGAGCGGGTATCTCTGGGGACTAAAAGTTATACTTTTCCCATAATTGAGTTGGAAGTCGCATTCATTACACATTGGATCGCATCTGATAAATGATATATAAGCCATTTAGCCATACATTATAATATGATGAAGTACATATTTTCAAGTATTAACAAACATTCGGCCAATACAAATACATCCTAAGGGCTAAATGACTGTTTACATCAGAGAAGACTAGTAGTTTACTCCCAATTTGTGGAGAAACTGTACAATAAAACCCAAAAAAGAAGACCACCAAGTTGTCCATACCTTATGGGATAGTTGATCGTTAGGATATTAAATCTTTGGCATGATTCATTAATTTCTTTAGAATTGATTCCCCAGTTTTCTGCTTCAATTCCACTCTGAAAATTCAGCACAGCAGTGACCCCCTATATTGCCCAGATGCCCTGGATTAGACACATGTAACTGAACAAAAAAAACTAAATCCACTAATCACTAATAAGCGTGCCACTCACTCTCAATATTATATTCGTGTATATCTATATCACTTCCTCCCAGCTACGACATCTCCAAAACTATTAGATAAATAGAAACCACTTCTGTGAACATATGGGTAATACCGTAATAGTGAAAAATATGAATGAAAAAAATAATTCATATTTAAGATGTAGAGTACAATGCTTGCATGACGATGATTAAAAGGAAAAAAAACATAGAGCACCCGTTAAATCAAAATGGCAGCAACCCTCACCACTGCATTACACAGCATCTCAACATCAGCTTCCCTTTGAATGCATGACCCAACATATATTTGTTCTGTTATCTGAATAGTGAGGCAGGAGTAAGAACTACAAAGTAGAGGAGCATAAAAATTTTGTCATATTGAGATAATCACCTCAAAATAAAGTTTGAAATAGGAAACTTTGAAATGGATTTATGCCAACTAACATCTAAGATTTATCTAATTAAGCAACTCACTACATTTTCAGAAGAAGAAGATTTGAAAAACGAAATTGACATTGGAGTTACTAATACTTAGAATTTTAATGTGTTGTTTGGGGGTGGGGGTATGGGGGCCAAGATCATACCTTGCTATATCGCATCCCAAGTGCATGGTTATAGTACAGGTCCCCCTTTGAACGATCCAATGCCTTTATATATTCTTCTAACGGGAAATTCCCATGAGCCCATTGAGCATCTCTTGTTGCTTTCTCACAAAAGATATTCACGAGTGGGCTAAAAGGTATGGGAGGGGTATTATTTGGCACATTTTGTTCTATGGTTTCATTTTGACTATCCAAAGCCCTCCATCCTTTCGAAGTAAGATATTTAGATGAAAATGAGGCCAATCCAGAATTACCACTACTCTCACACAGTGTTCTTAAGTTTGAGGCAAGCAAATTCTTGTTCCATGTGACTATGGGAACACGGCCTCGATTAAATAGAATATCGACAACATCCATAAGATACAGTTGGTGGATAGGAAATGGGGAGAAAGGTCTCTCAAAAATAAGGCTGCAAGATCCCGAACCATCCTGCATTATCTTCCTGCAGAAACCATTACAAGATACACCCACTTATTGGCCCGCCAATTGCTTAGGGAATAGGCCAAATATAGTTTGCCATGCGGAGTTTAATATTCCCCGACAACAAAAGCATATAGTATCTCATACTCTATATCGCCGAAGTCCTTAATCTCAAGAAGCCTACCGCCTGAAGATTCACTGGCCTTTTTCAAAGTATCACCCACCATAATTATTCTCGACTTTTCAGCATTTCCCTACAAAATCTTTCAACTAAATAGTGACCATACAATCTACCCAATTGGTAATGTGGAACCAACAGAAGTTATTAAAATGTAAGATCAACGAACTTTTTCTAATACATTGGCTTTGATTCACCTATTCTAACTCTCAAAATCAGCTAGTCTAGGTATTTAAGAATATACTGATTCTGAAGAATCAAGTTGTTGATTACTCTTAAGCTCTGTTTGGTTTGTGGAATTCAGAATGAAAGGAAAAGAAAGAGGTTTTCTCTCGATTTCCTCACCCAAGTGGAATGAGAGCTTTTTGCCTCCTTTTTAGTTTATTTTCTCCCCTCATTCTTTTTCCATCGCTTTTCTTTTCATTTCTTGTCAAACCAAACAAGAAAAATTGTTTTCTTTTCCCTTTCAAATTCCTTGAACCAAGCATAGTGTTAGGAATCAGATCTCCAGAGCAGAATCAACAAGTAAATCTAACACCAACATATGCGACAATGAAGTGAACACAGGATTGGGAGAACACTGACCCCTTTCATGAGAGCATGAACAAGGACCTTCCCATCAAGGGAGATGGCGAATCGAATGCCCAGAGGCTTCTCCAACGCGACCATATACTCGTTCAAATTCATGCTGAAAGACGAGTTCGAAGAAGACATAGCCCCGACCCGAGAAACCCTCCGGCGGCGCGGCAACCGCTTCTCCGCCGCCAGTCCATTGCTTAAACACACTTCTCGGTCCCAAAATGCCGAGCGACGACCGGATTCCCCCAAATTCTTCGTCGGGGCAGAGAGACTGCCGCCGAATGGAGTGCGATCGAAGACTCGGAGACATGGGATTTGCAACGAACACATTCTGAGCGTGGTTAGCTTAGCTTGAAGATGAACAAAATCTGAAAAATCTTATGGAAATGATTTTGTTCAGAATACTCTGTATTCATGTATGATGAAATGTATGTATGGTGGAGGAAGAAACATTTGAGCTTTGGTTAACTGCAGAATGAAGCTCTATCCAAAATAGTGTTTGGAAGGAGGGTGGCATGTGGGTCTATGTTACCTCAGATCAATGTTTACCGTCGGTGGGTCTAAAATACTTATTACCCCCACAAATAAACTTACCCCTCATTATAATATTTAACTAAAATTATTTTCAAATTATTTTATATAAAAATGGTATAAATTTAAAAATAAAAATGACATATGAAAATGCTATATCAAAAGATCTAGTTTAAAACTAGAGGTGACATGATTATATTATTTAATTTTATCAAATGGGTGACGAAAATATACCAACAAAGTGAATAAAGTTTGACCATATGAATAATGAACGTAAAATTTATTTGTGGACGGAGGAAGTATTTCTCAGTTTCTTAAAGCAGTCTAATATTCCATAGTTAAAAGAATAAACATTCTAAAGAAAAATTTAAAAACCTTTGAAAAATAGGGAGTATTATATTATATATAGCTAGACTTAAAACTCTTAACCTATTTCAAAAAAATAAAAATTCTTAAGTCTTAACCATTTATGAAATGGGAGAAATACGAATATAGCACTTTAATAGGCTTATAATACGCAAAATAGCAGTGCTATAAGTTTTTGAGATGAATTCCCAATATTACCCTTAATTAAACAAATTTATATTATATATACACTGCCACAATATATACACTGTCACAATATATCTACACTGCCACAATATATACACTGCCATAATGTTAGCCACAATATGTACTTCCAAAAATTCAATGTCTGAAATACACTGCCACAATATATGCACTGCCAAAAATTCAATGTCTGAAATACAATGCCACAATATATACACTGCTACAATATATTTATAATGCCACAATTCGGGCAATCACAAAGCATACTTCTCATAGTTTCTAAGAAAATATTTTAGTTTGTTTATGAAGAAAATTAAATAAATATACCTTCTGAGAAGAACAAGGATTCTGAGATTTTTGAGCAAATTCATGCTGATAACGTGTTGTAAAATGAGAGAAAAACTACTCAGAGATTCAGAGAATAGATATAATATAATACACTGCCACAATATATACACTGCCACAATATATCTACACTGTCACAATATATATATTGCCATAATGTTAGCCACAATATGTACTTCCAAAAATTCAATGTCTGAAATACACTGCCGCAATATATGCACCGCCAAAAATTCAATGTCTGAAATATAATGCCACAATATATACACTGCCACAATATATCTACACTGCCACAATATATCTACACTGCCACAATATAAAGCTTCCATTAGTATCCCATGTCCTATCAACACATAGCAATATCGTCAAATTTGGACCCATCTGTGATGCTCCTTTTAAATAATAAAAGAGAAAATATTCAATTAAATTAAATAAAGGAATGAACTCAAAGAATAGACGTATAACCTAATATGCGATGAAAATGCTGGATCCTTACACATATCTCATCTTTAAAATTTGGATTCAAATAGTACCCCATGCTGGAAATGTAAAAATTTGACCGATAGAATGACGATTTGGCGTTCTTCTCATCGTACATGGCATCCAAATGGCATTCTTCCTTTACCTCACATGGCATTCAAGCGATGTTTTTTGCATTATAATCTCTTTTTTTTAATGAGAAAAAGAAAAAAGGTTAAAGGGCATGATAGGAAAGGATTGACTCCAAAAAAGTGCTAAATTTGTTAAAAACAATGAGTAGTGCTAGATGCGTAATTTAGGGTGAGTTAGAGTGCTATGTAGGGTGATTTCTTTTATGAAATTGATACAAGTACGAGGAACATGTCACGAAAATATTTTATTTAAATATTGTTTTTGAAAAAAACAGGCAAATTATTTAAACAAATAAAATCACCTCTTAATTTATAAACTTTTAATGTTGTTCTTAGTGTATACTACGTAAATTTTATTTTTTTAAATCAAAATGAATGAACTTCGAGCTTCAATCAGACAAAAAATATAATGTATACTCCCTCCGTCCTATATCTTTCTTCTCGGTTCGCAAAACGAAGAAAAATCCCAAGTTTTTTCAATCTATTTTATTTAAATATTGGTATAGAAATAAAAAATAAAACATACATATTTAAAAACTACATCAAAAGTTCAACAAAACAAGTGGTGACAAGAATATTTTATTTTATCATATAGGCCATGAAAAAACACAAATAAATATAAATTCTCATGAAGTTGGAATAGTGCTCTGGGAAGAAAGTTTTAGGACGGAGGGAGTATTAGTTAGAAAAATGATTTCAATAGATTTATTATGTTGAGAACTTTCAAAATTTTATCTATCATACAAATATATAATATAAACTGAAAGTAATTAAAATTCAAATTTTTTCATTTTGACTCAAAACTAGTCAAATTGAAAAAAATATATATATACTAAGACGCAGGTAGTATGTTTGAACCGCTTCTTGAATCACTTGAATCACTTGCTCGACCACTAAACTAGTGAACCAATATCTTAAACGGTTCTGTCACCGATTCGATTCTCAAAAATATACTGCGGCAAAAAGTGGACTCCAATGGGTCATTTAAAAAGTAAAGGAATAATTATTTTTGCTTTCACATCTCCTGTAAATACATGATGCATATCCCGTAGTAGCTACTCCGTATAATACATAGAAAAATGAAGCAAATGCAAAAAAAAAAAAAAGAAAAATGTAAAATACTGTATATACCTGCCCACTTTTATCATTAGAGCACTGGTAATACCCTTCACGCCCACCGGGGTTACGGGGCGTTTAACGCCCCGGGGGCGTGAAACACCGCCCCCCGCCGGCGTGAAAAGGGCGTGAGGGCGCCTGCGTCAAACGAATGACGCGGCGTGAGGGCCGTTTTTTCTTCCCAACGGCTATAATGCCGTTACCCCCCCCATTAAAAAAAAAATTAAATTTAAAAAAAAACCTATAAAATCCCTCCTTCTCATACATCTTCCTCACACCTCTCTCTAACAAATCTCTCTTTATTACTATATATTCTCTCAAAAAAATTTATTATTTATTATAAATATTTATAAAATATAATTTAAAAATGGGTTCATCTTCCGACGATGAAAGAAGAGCTTTATTTTTTCGTTGTTTCGCGACGAATTGTATTCAATGGTGGGAAGATGGCCAAGAAGAAGCCGAATCCTCCCGACGACGGACCCGACGCCAACGTCTTAACCGGGATCGAGCGGCCGCCAACGATTCACTTCTAAACGACTACTTTAATAATCCATGTGTTTATACACCGGAGGATTTTAGTAATCGTTTTCGGATGAGTCGTCCTCTCTTCTTACGCATACTCGCCGATG